ACCAACATTATTTCACATGATATAGAAGTTCTTATCCACAATCTACGACCAGTATAATTTCTTCCTGAACAAATATGAAAATGTATACGGAATACTTATGTAATCGATAAAAACAAATTCAGACATAGACCTTCTCTTCTTCTAATATCACGAGATTAAATGTTTGTGCAGGAAAAAGTGAAATTTTACAAGCTTTGTATATTAAGTTGATTCAGTGTGAAAGAGATGTAGATGATATAGACATTTCCTATCGAGAGCTGCTACTAGCATTAGACCCCCTTCAGTTTATCTTGATGTCTCTAGTAGCAGGTCTTTCTACCATAATAGATAAAGTGGTTTTGAAACTGAGTGTCGTTAAATGATGAAAAATCTCATAATATTTCCTTAAAGAAGGGATTTAACAATGTACTATTCTTATATTCAGTGTAGTTAGGTAAGCCATACACTGTACAATTACAGAATAAACACGACTCGCTATTCATATCATATATATATAAACACCTATATAAATATGTATCTTAGGCTATGTAACAATTTTCCTGTTACTGCCATTGTATAACAGATCTCTAGCAGAAATCAAATACTGAAAATGATGTTCTTTTTCTATCTTAGGTGAAAACACAGATGAGAAAACATTCAGATTATTTGAACAGTGTTTAGAGACACAACAATTCCACTTTGCCACTACTTTGGCTAAGCGATTCACCAAACCTGCACATGAAAACTGCATTAGAAAATGGCGATACAAACGTGAATTTACAAGAAATTATACAACTTATGAAAACGATGAGACGCTTTTGCACTACATCGTCAATTTTCCTCACACGGGAGAACTCCTGTGCATACTGCTCCAGATTTGTCCAGATTTGGCATACATGCCACGAACGCACCCTGAATACTTCGGACAGACACCGCTTCACATTGCAATAGCTTCGGGAAACCGAGAGGCATTTGACATCATTTTGAAAAGGGCCTTTATGAGTTCTCAAATGAAATTACGTAAGTTGGTAAACGTACGCGCTACCGGGATCAAATTTCAAAATACAGTTATGATGGGAGAACTGCCATTATTTGTAGCTGCGCTGCGGAATGACCAGTATATGGTGAAGACTCTTATAGCTAACGGCGCTGTCCCTTATATTATTAAGGGAAATGGAGATACCGTGTTTCATGTCCTGATTCAGTATGCTGCCATGTACAGGGAAAAAGTGAAAGACGTCAGGAAGATGATCTCCTGCATTCATGAACAAATTAACAGACTTATGGAAAAAGCTAAGCAAACACAACTGAAAAAGAAAAAATTCGAAAGTAAGCTTCAAAACAGCAATAAAAAGCAAAAAGACCTTTTCTTATCCAAACCCAATGAAGACGACGTTGGAGAAGTGAAGACAAGAAAGTGGAAAGTGTATGATTATCGTCACGTTTGGTTTATCAAGAACAATCAAGATTATACCCCACTAGAACTGGCTGCTTCTCATGGACTGACAGAAATATTCAGCGACATCCTTAACCTAGAAGATGTGTACTGCCACCTCGGCCAACGAGACGGGCTGTTCGATGAGAAGTCTTACGACATAACTGAAATTGATGCCATTGCCAAGTACAACAGCCAAAGAGGTGTTGATGATGAGGGCAAGCTTAATCCGGAATTTGGCTGGTCACCTTTCAGGCGGTATCCGAAGAGAGAGAGTGTACTACAGATGATGTGTAGTTCCAGGCAAAGCTTTCCTGACGTGGCAGCCTTGATTGACCTCCCTCCGATCAAGCTCCTTATCAAGAACAAATGGCACTACTACCGAATACCATATATAGCCTGGATGGTATTTCATTACATGTTTGTCGTTGTCTTGAGTGCTTTCGCTGTCAATAGATCCGAGGTTGTATTCGGTTCGACATCAAGCGATTCCTTCCCAATTCCTACCTCTTCAGATGCCAATTCCTCAAGTGTTACAATTAATTCAGCAACACCAGAAACGTCTGTCACCAAAGAGGTATTTGTTGCCATTACAAGGTGGATTTTGGTTGGAATAGCCATCGTTTACTTGATTGTGGGAGTGGCAGAAGTGATAATAAAATTACGTAAACCAAACGCTTTAGAATATGTGTCCAATAATCTCAATTACTTACTTTTCATTTTTGGCTTGTCCTTGGGAATCATTGCGGATGCCATCTTGCATCGCTTGTGGTATGATCACGACGGCATCCCAATGATAATTGCTGTTCTGGCGGCGTGGTGGTTCAATATATTTTTTCTCAGAGGGTGGCGACTGTTTGGTTTCTTCACGAAAATGATCCAACGGGTCGTTTTTGGCGATTTCTTTCGTTTTTCAGTTATAATAGTTTTGCAGTTGTTCTCGTTTACAACAATCATGACAGTTGTATACCAAGACAAAACCACTCCTGCTATTGATGGTACAGAAGATAGCCCAGGACATCATACAACCTACCCATCAGCACTCCTCGTGATGTTTAAGCTGATGATTGGCATCACTGAGTTACCTTTCCTGGACCAAACTAAACAGTCGTGGTTAGCCTACAGTCTGTACGTCCTCTTTATTCTGACTACCTATATACTCCTTATCAATGCCCTGATTGCTATGATGTCATCTACTTGTGCCAACCTCTTGATGAACAGATATCCACAGTGGAGAGTTCAGCAACTAGCAGTCATCATCTTCCTAGAGGATCTTCTTTCCCTCTTCAGTTATAACAACATGACAAAGGCAACTGGCGGGTTTGATGTCCTTTCTGAAAATGTGAGGATGTACAATCCTTCCACAGGAACTGCAGTGATGGTTCGCAGGTATTTTCTGCAAATGTCGTATGCAATAAAGGATTATAGTTATCATGATGTCGCTGAAGCAGCAGCTACCCTTGAAAAACAGACTAATCTCGCAGCTGAATGTGCAGCCAACCAAGACATTATCCAGAACATCAAAAAAGGAATCATTGCAGAATCAGACCATGTGGAATCTGTCATAGATGATAATGCTATGTGGGATATGTCGTCAGTGGAGGAGATTGACCCGAATGACAATGCAGACCCCTTCAGATATTACACTATTTACCACGAGTTTAATGCTAACAGCCCATCAGGTGAACTTCGGGATGACAGCTCAAACGCAAGTAGTACAGAGTCCCGTATACGCAAACTAACAAAAATGGCATCGCGTGGACGGATTATTTCTTACCCCAGAAAGACCCAAAGAAAAATCAGGTCATTGGAGAAATAGATTGGAGAAATCATGAAACCATTCCTTTTGACATCATATTTGTCTACCTAGAGAAAAAGACCTTGCTATCATATAGGTAAAAGTCCTCAAACGAATGACTGTATTTTTTGTTGATATAAATTTAGGCTATAGTAAATGTACAGTTAACTGCATAAATATATATATAACATACTTCAGTTTACATATACACAAAACCACTGAAATAAATGGTATAATATCAACAAGTTAAAACGTACAAAATGTGTGTTGCTTTTATAATCTGCATTATGTGACTGAACAAATTACAACCTTCCCATCCACAACACTTTACATACCTAAATAATTATACTCTGTCTTTAACAATATACGCAAATTAGTGAATTTACCTTGTGAAATGTTTGTTACAATATACCTCACACAGTATATAATACATTGTGTATACTATGAACAACATATATTAAAATAAATAGTCTATGGAATGTTACACACAAAAGTGGTATTATCATAACTAATATAGATTGCTCCTTCGAAACATTTGCAACCTTCACAAAACCTTCTCGTTCTTAAATTTGTCCTAAAAACCATATAACATGTGTTTCAACTTCAATATCACATTGAAGCCAATGTTTTATTTTTGCTGTATTGGCAAAATGGTTATTAATTGGTACATTGTATGTTTAATGTATGATATTTTAATGGTTATTAATTGATACATTGTATGTTCAGTGTATGATATTTTAATGGTTATTAATCGATATATTGTATGTTCAGTGTATGATAGTTTAATGGTTATTAATGATATTGTATGTTCAGTGTATGATAATGGTTATTAATTGGTACATCATGTTTTGTATAACATGAGGAATTACCTGTGTAGAACTGTTTGCTGTTTAGTACCTTAAGAAAAACCATGAAAATGAAATGAACTAAATAGAATTCAGATAGAGGAATTTTGTGTGATTATGAAGCACTATGGAAGTTTTCACCCTAAAAATGATGTCTCAGTTTCAAACCATTCATATTTCATATTAAATGAGAAACCTGCAATAAATTTAGATCTAATTCTCTGTCCTGACGTACACCATACAAATGTTTTATGCATGTTAAAAGAATGAAAACTTCAATAAAAAATCAGAATTATCATCTTTCTTTTTCACTGTGGACTGTTCCAGTAAAAGATCTACTCCCCAAGGACTTTAAAACAAATCACTTCCATTCATGGTTTGGTTTCATGCCTATTACTTTCGAGCAAATTGTCAATTTGATTCTACGGTTAGTACCTCTTCACAAAACCTGAAGTCCTCTGGTGGATAGATGTTTTACTGGTCAGGAATAACCTCAGTTGATGATTCCAAATTGTGTTTTAGTTATTTTAGGTACTGCTTTGTTTCAAGGGAAGTAAATCTTCAGTTTTGGAAATTCACATCAACATTTACATCATATAATTTTAATTCCTATTTAGAATCTGGACTTTAACAGCTGAACATTCACAGCTTTCTGATACCGGTGTCAGGACTGGAACAGGTATTTAATGATATTTAAGAGGAATGACTGGTGAAATAAACTTTACTCTTACAAGTGATAAATGAAATTTTCTATGCTCAGACATATCATGTAGTGAGAAATATGTTTTTACCAATTTTTCAGCATCATTGAAAAATACCCCTTCTGATCATAAACTTTTCAAAACTTTCAAGTACCTGGAATTGAAGTTTTAATTTCCAGTTATATGTAAAACAGATGCAGGAAAAACAAAACAAAAAACAAAAAGTAGAAGTATTCGTTTTTTTATTGCACTCCCCTCTTTATTACATTGTCAAACAATGTATTGATGAGAATCATGGGATAGGCATCATTCATAATATGATATTCTACAAGAATATCATCCTCAGATTATAATATCAGGTCTCTGTTAACACCATGTACAAATCCCAGCAAAGTGAACAGTTTTCAGAGGTAATATTGTTACCAGGAAGAGTGATTACAACTCTGACATGAAAATCTGCTCACTCAGAAACGTCTGCTAGCAAGAATCAGTTAAACTAATTTCTCAAACTAGCTTCTTCTGTAGTAATTACAAGAATTTATCTATACATATACAGTGTACCTGTTTAATCTGACAGCCTGTCTATCACAGTAATTCCTGATTACACAGTGTTATCTCTTCTATACAATGGTTGTTTGTATAGAAAGTACTGCTACAGAAAGGGACTGAGAGTCAACACAGAATTCCACTGCATAGAAATGCATATATTTGCATTCTCTAGCATCAGCTTTTCTTTAAATGGACATTAACAGATGATAGTGCATCCACAGCCCACTGTGGGTAGTCAGTGTCCGGATACTGTTTATCAAAGAAGTCCTGTATGAACTGTGGGAATCTGTCTTCTATGATACTGTCTTGTATATTAGTCATCAAGGATAGCTGAAATATGATAGAGGAAAACACATCAATACACACCTTTCAGTACATCAGTATAAATACAGATCTCAAATACATATATGTATATAAACAAGCTTAGTGATTAAACAAAGAAAAAACTTTTACATATAGAACGTTTTATTTTTTCATTTTCATTATTAACTGATAAAATTTCAAGTTTTATTTCACGACAGTAGCTATTTACACTAATTTAATGCAAACATTTGATAATGCTAATGACCGTTAGAAAAACATAATTCAGAAAAAATTGATCCATTGGTAATGACAGAGGACACAATGATAATGCTTCCTATGTTATATTTGTTTTCTCATGATTACTGTAACAAAGTGTACTTTTACCTGGTAAGCTACATTGTGTACAGTAAGTAGTTGGCAGGACACAGTTTCATTAGTTACAATGGTGTGTAGGTAAGCACGAGTGTACTGTCTACAAGTGGAACATCGACACTGGTCATCAATAGGACTGAAATCCTTAGCATATATCTTATTCTTCAGTGACAGATTACCAGTTGGCACTAAAGCATTTCCAAATCTCTGAAACAAGAAAAAAGTGTGTTGGAGTTTTGATAAAACTTATCTGATGGAAGTAAAAAAAAATTCGAAATTAAGAACATCTAAGTCAATTCAATACCACATGATCATTTGAAACCTCAGTTACTGAGAAACAACATTTCTTTTTCTTAAACAACCAAGAATAACCACAAGACATACACTGTATAAATAGTACAGGTTGTAAATTTCATTTACTAAACACTCATCTGTCATACTGAAGGACAAGATGATGAAAATTTACATATTCTGTAACTTCTTAAAATTACAGAAAGAGAAAAGGTTGCTAAAACCTGGAAATCGCTTGCAGCTTCTTTTCAGACAGGGAAAGAACTGATTTCTAGCCAAATTTAACTCTCTCAAACAGGCAGAAGTATGAGGTTTTTTAGTGACAATGGCTTTCTAGACATAACTTTTCATATATTATTTGGCTGAGGCTGAAAATTATCATCAGCTGACTTGATGAAAGAAATAAACCTACATGTACATATGAAATTTCTGTTCACCCTGTACTGCATCAGAAAACAAATTTAAGTTTCTTGATTTTTTTTTTTTAATTCAAGAGCCATAACTCTGGAAAAATACATTAATTGAAACAAAATATAACTTGACTGAGATGTTCTCAGGATATATTTACAAGTCAAATTCAAGTTCAACATTGTCATCAAGAAAATGAGTGGAAACTAATTCTGCAATAAAGTTTTCTAAATTCTATGGCCATAGCTCTATAAAAATAGGTCGGTTGGAACCATATAGAAGCTTCAAAAGCATCATAATACAACTTCATACCACATTTTAGTTCAATACTTCCATTTAGCTCCAAGAATATGAGCAGAAACTGATACTTTCTTGAACTTTTATGTTCAAAAGCCATAATTCTGCAAAAAGTCACAAAATCAACAGTATACTACTATGGACCAAACAAAACCTACTTGTATGTATAAATTTTGAGAAAATTCCACCCAGTAATTCTCAAGAATGAGTGATAACAAACATTCATTGTCAAAATCCAAGACACTGCCATTTTGTTACAGATCAGTCCCTTTATCAAAAGGGCATGACTAAGGACAAAGGGGAATGTTCATAAAAAATTTAGAATATATCCATCCATTATTTCTTCTGAGTCAATGTAAATATCCAAGATGGCTGCCTATTGAACATTTTGGCCCATTTACAACCAGTTAAAAAAAAAAACAATGCACATATTGGGCCAAGGGCAATAATCACATGAAATTAGAGAATGAAAAAGCACTGACAACCTTTCAATGTAAAAATTCCATTGTGGCTGCCTAGCAGCCATTTTTCCTTCTACTGATCAGTCCCAAAATTTAAAAAGCACAACATAGGACCAAGGGGGTACTGGTATCAATTTGAGAAAAAATCCATCAAAAGCTCAGATAAACAGCAATAAAACATTTGTAGTCGAAATCTAAGATGACTGTCTGAAGTCCTTTTTTTCCCTTTGGATCAGTCCTAAAATGGGACAATGCAAAACTAAGGAACAAACATACAAAATTTGAGAATTATTCTTCCAGTTGTTCTCCAGAAATAGAAATAACAAGCTGTTCCTGTCAAAATCAAAGATGGTTGCCTGTAAGCAATTTTGTTTTTCGAATCAGTCCAAAATTGGGACAATGCACAACTAGGTACATATGTGAAAATTATGAAAATGATCTATCCAATGCTTCTCAAGAAATAGTAAAAACAAAGAACTGGTTAAGGACAGAAGGCTGAGGGAAGGCAGATGACAGACACCTGGCAACAGAATCAGACCTTTGACAAAGGGCAATTTGAACAGCACATCATCTGATGATGGTGGACTAAATAAAGAAGAAACAAAGACTTTCCAACAGTTGTGCCAAAAGAAACTTACAGCTGTCCTGGTAGGGAATACACAGTCAAACATGTCACAACCAAGGGCTACACACACCACAAGGTCAACAGCAAACCTGTAGAAATAATTCAGGAGTACAGTTGTAGATATCAAGGATTATTTTTAGAATACATAAAAATCAAGATATCAAAATCAATATATCTAAAGTAAAGAAGTAACATTCTCATGCAGTGCTTAAATTTTTCAAAATGTGTCAAATCAGATTTTTTAATGACAAATTGCTCATTATTCCAAATATAACCATTTTGGAGACATTTGGAATGCTGTTTTATCTATATATTTTAGAAAAAAACCCTTGACTTATTAAAAGAGTATGTCACTATTAAATAATTACTTCTGGGAAAAGTTTCATAAGTTTAGAATTTTGTTGATCAAACACACCACAAAATATATAGAGAAAGGTTATCAAATATGAGAGCCTGAACCAAATTCTGTTACTGCTGGGCAGTAGTATATGTTTACCATACAACACCCACGTAGAGCTCCATCTTCTATTCTGATGATGGCTAGTTTACATGTTTTTGTTTTCTAGTCTAGCTGTCATCAGGACCTATTTTAATGATCGCTAGTCTATTGTGACATGTGTTATACTGTCTCTCATATTGCTGTATAAATGTATGACTAAATTGAATTGTTGACTTCTCATTGCACATGAAAATGTTCCTGAGTGAATAAAAATTCTTGGATTCTTTAAAAAAAAAATGTTACCCCAAACATGTTAACAACACAAAAACTACCAAATCCAGATCAAATGTTGATACTAAAGTTTATGATATAGAACTGTTTTATTTCTGTATTTAAACTTCTAAGCAGTAACATTCTGTACTAAAATCTGTCCATTACTTACCCTACCCCCATCAAGTATCTAGGTTTGTCTTTCGGTAAATATTCTGTGGACAATGTTACCATCCGCCAAAAGTCGTCTTTACTCTCTCCCCCACTCAATCCCCCAATAGCATAACCAGGAACCTCACGCTTCAACAACTCTGCAACAAAAAATCTTCCGGATAATTTAGTGTAGGTGTGAAATTATCTCTGAAATAGATTCAAATCACCCTATGTAGTTAAATAACCCCAAATTTGGACCTCCCTCTACAATAAGATCTCTTGGTCACTGTATACTTTCTGTAATCCTGTAAACTACCTTACAAAGATTCCAGTCCGATCTGATGATATTCCATCAAATGATTTAAAAGAATTATAGTTGGAAGGGCAGACAGTAAATGGCATCCGCTAGACACAGGAAGTATTAACTTGTGTTTGCAAGCTCTGTAGATCATCGCTGAAAATCTAGGTTATAATGCTGAATTTTATGCACAACTGTCATTTGTCCCAAAACATTATAGTGAGTATAAAAGTATATACTGTCATTCTTCATTTGTAGTATCATGTAGCAGATACCATCTTCCTTCAACACATGCTTTATTTCATATTAGCCTTGCGATTCATTTTCTGTATTCTATAGCTATCATTTGTAATACTATACTGAAAGGATAAAGAAACGCAGGGTAATATTTATTCCAATATTTTGAAAACGCGTTTTCCAAATAAAGTGAAATTTTGTGGATTGAGTAATTAGGTCATATTACATCTTGTCATGTATCGAAAATTTAGTCTTGGTACAGTGCGCAGCTCTGGTAAATGGAGGAAGGAAAAAACAAGAATCTCGTGCACCGTGTTGTTCTGGTCTCATGCAGCGTTGGTCAAGTCACTCTTCATTAGTCTTTATACAGACCAACTGCTTCCCTAAAGTTAATTGAGAATTTGATTCGTTTAAGAATGGCACGACTCACAGAAGTTCAGAGGGGTCAGGCCATTCAGATGCTGATGCAAGGACAGCTGCAAAATCAGGTTGCTAGGCACTTTGGTGTTAATGTTTCCACCATAGAACGTCTTGTAAGACGTCTTCGGGAAACTGGGCGATTGGCCGATCGACCTAGGTCAGGACGTCCGTGCGTAACGTCACGACGTCAGGATCGCTATATCGTCGTCTCTCATGTGCGTAATCGGCGCCTTACTGCCGTTGAGAGTGCACTTAATGTTTGTGGAAGTCATGGGCGTCCTATAAGTTCAAAAACTGTAAGGAATCAATTACGAGAAGTTGGTGTAAGAGCACGTCCCCCCTACGTATGTCCATACCTTAACCCTGCTCCACGTCAGCGTCGTATGGCCTGGGTCACTGCACATGCTCCACGACGGTTTCCACTGAGGCAGTGGAGACAAGTTTCCTTCATGGACGAGTCTCGATTCTGTCTTTATCGATCCGACAGCTGTCAACGTGTCTACCGACGTCGTGGTGAACATTTTACAGACACTTGCGTTGTAGAGAGGGATAGGTTTGGGGGCGGTTCAGTAATGGTGTGGGGAGGAATCTCACACAGGTTAAAATCACAAATGGTTGTTATTGATGTCAATTTAACAGCAGCTAAGTATAGAGATGAGATCCTGTGACCCCATGTTATCCCTTTCTTACAGCAGCATAATCTAACCCTCCAGCAGGATAATGCTAGGCCCCATGTAGCAAGGATTTACCAAGTCTTTCTGGCCAACAACAACATTCAACCACTAGATTGGCCGCCATATAGCCCTGATTTGTCCCCGATTGAGCATCTTTGGGACCAGTTGGAAAGACAGGTTCGAAAGCGCCAGCCACCCCCTGCTACTCGAGAGCAGTTGACCAGAGCTCTGATTGAAGAGTGGGACAACATCCCCATAAGACGGTTTAACGCTCTCGTGAACTCTATGACCAGAAGAATAAGGGCCGTGACCACAGCAAATGGCGGACACACAAGATATTGATGACTCAGTTCAATTTCAAAATCCTATGAGTCCATTCAATTTAATCGTTAGTACCTCTAAACCAATTGTCAGATGCAAAATACAGACTTTGGAATTTTTTAAGCTTTAATGTATCTGTAAGTATACAAAATTTCGTTTTAAATGAAGCCCGATATCATACTTAATTTCTGGTTTAAAGTTCACCCTGCGTTTCTTTATCCTTTTAGTATATATAATAGAATGTACATGTAGATCATATACTGATGAAAATCCTTTAAAACTGACATTGCTATCAAGGACGGAAACAGGTGACACTGCTATCTATACATTGTACACTGTACAGAATTGTCAGGGGGACTACTACTAATACTTAATTACACAACATTTAACAGTGTAAATCAGGATAATCTCATAACATCCACAAAAGATATTTCTTGCATCCTTTCATATCTGAACAAGGAGACTCACTGAATATTTTAAACACTTTAATTTGAAAGGCTATAGAATTTCGGTTTCCACCAGGGAGATTCAGTATTCATGATTTCTATATCACCCAGGTAATCAGTATTCTGGATTTCTCTATCACCCAGGAGATCAGTATTCTTGATTTCTCTATCACCCAGGAGATTCAGTATTCTTGATTTCTCTATCACCCAGGAGATTCAGTATTCTTGATTTCTCTATCACTAAGGAGATTCAGTATTCTTGATTTCTCTATCACCCAGGAGATCAGTATTCTTGATTTCTCTATCACCCAGGAGATCAGTATTCTTGATTTCTCTATCACCAAGGAGATCAGTATTCTTGATTTCTCTATCACCCAGGAGATCAGTATTCTTGATTTCTCTATCACCCAGGAGATCAGTATTCTTGATTTCTCTATCACCCAGGAGATCAGTATTCTTGATTTCTCTATCACCCAGGAGATCAGTATTCTTGATTTCTCTTTCACCCAGGAGATTCAGTATTCTTTATTTCTTCATCACTCAGGAGAATCCAACATTTCTTGATCATCCAAGAGGTTCCCTGGATTTCTCCATTACCAAAAATGATTGTCTAACTTTTGCTCATCCAAAAGATTTCTGGGAAATCAAAATTACTCAAGGATTTCACCATCATCCAGCAGAAACTTAAAATTTTGAATGAACAATTTTCCATTTCCCTAAAGTGATTCCCTGGATTTATCTATAACTATACAGCCATATTACAGAAGTATTACCTTGAACACATTTCCTGCGCAGCTCTGGGTACAGTCCTCCCTGCACAATAGGAAAGATGTTCTGGTCGTGTGGTCTCTGATGGGCCTTCAGACATCTATCCAGCCATCTTATGGTTCTGATATAAAACATTAGCAGAAAATGATCAGGATATATGTTTAGCTTTGATTTGTACACTTTCAAAATGATAGCAACAAAAACGTCTCTTTAAAGAAGAGATGACTCTTTGAAATCTTGTCAGTGTAAGAAATCATGAACAAGAGATATCTAAACCACAGAAACTCATTCTAAACACAGTCACAAGGTCAACAGGTCAAACCACAGAAACTCATTCTAAACACAGTCACAAGGTCAACAGGTCAAACCACAGAAACTCATTCTTACACAGTCACAAGGTCAACAGGTCAAACCACAGAAACTCATTCTTACACAGTCACAAGGTCAACAGGTCAAACCACAGAAACTCATTCTTACACAGTCACAAGGTCAACAGGTCAAACCACAGAAACTCATTCTTAAAAAGTCACAAAGTCAACAGGTCAAACCACAGAAACTCATTCTTACACAGTCACAAGGTCAAAAGGTCAAACCACAGAAACCCATTCTTACACAGTTACAAGGTCAACAGGTCAAACCACAGAAACCCATTCTTACACAGTTACAAGGTCAACAGGTCAAACCACAGAAACCCATTCTTACAGTCACAAGGTCAACAGGTCAAACCACAGAAACACATTCTTACACATTCACAAGGTCAACAGGTCAAACCACAGAAACTCATTCTTACACAGTCCCAAAGTCAACAGGTCAAACCACAGAAACTCATTCTTACACAGTCACAAGGTCAACAGGTCAAACCACAGAAACCCATTCTTACACAGCTACAAGGTCACAAGGTCAAACCACAGAAACTCATTCTTACATAGTCACAAGGTCAACAGGTCAAACCACAGAAACTCATTCTTACACAGTCACAAGGTCAACAGGTCAAACCACAGAAACTCATTCTCACAAAGTCACAAGGTCAAACCACAGAAACCCACTCTTATACAGTCACAAGGTCAACAAGTCAAACCACAGAAACTCATTCTTACACAGTCACAAGGTCAACAGGTTACACCACAGAAACTCATTCTTACACAGTCACAAGGTCAACAGGTCAAACCACAGAAACTCATTCTTACAAAGTCACAAGGTCAACAGGTCAAACCACAGAAACTCATTCTTACACAGTCACAAGGTCAACAGGTCAAACCACAGAAACTCATTCTTAAAAAGTCACAAAGTCAACAGGTCAAACCACAGAAACTCATTCTTACACAGTCACAAGGTCAAAAGGTCAAACCACAGAAACCCATTCTTACACAGTTACAAGGTCAACAGGTCAAACCACAGAAACCCATTCTTACACAGTTACAAGGTCACAAGGTCAAACCACAGAAACTCATTCTTACATAGTCACAAGGTCAACAGGTCAAACCACAGAAACTCATTCTTACACAGTCACAAGGTCAACAGGTCAAACCACAGAAACTCATTCTCACAAAGTCACAAGGTCAAACCACAGAAACCCACTCTTATACAGTCACAAGGTCAACAAGTCAAACCACAGAAACTCATTCTTACACAGTCACAAGGTCAACAGGTTAAACCACAGAAACTCATTCTTACACAGTCACAAGGTCAACAGGTCAAACCACAGAAACTCATTCTTACACAGTCACAAGGTCAACAGGTCAAACCACAGAAACTCATTCTTACACAGTCACAAGGTCAACAGGTCAAACCACAGAAACTCATTCTTAAAAAGTCACAAAGTCAACAGGTCAAACCACAGAAACTCATTCTTACACAGTCACAAGGTCAAAAGGTCAAACCACAGAAATCCATTCTTACACAGTTACAAGGTCAACAGGTCAAACCACAGAAACCCATTCTTACACAGTTACAAGGTCAACAGGTCAAACCACAGAAACACATTCTTACAGTCACAAGGTCAACAGGTCAAACCACAGAAACCCATTCTTACACAGTTACAAGGTCAACAGGTCAAACCACAGAAACCCATTCTTACAGTCACAAGGTCAACAGGTCAAACCACAGAAACCCATTCTTACACATTCACAAGGTCAACAGGTCAAACCACAGAAACTCATTCTTACACAGTCCCAAAGTCAACAGGTCAAACCACAGAAACTCATTCTTACACAGTCCCAAAGTCAACAGGTCAAACCACAGAAACTCATTCTTACACAGTCACAAGGTCAACAGGTCAAACCACAGAAACCCATTCTTACACAGTTACAAGGTCACAAGGTCAAACCACAGAAACTCATTCTTACATAGTCACAAGGTCAACAGGTCAAACCACAGAAACTCATTCTTACACAGTCACAAGGTCAACAGGTCAAACCACAGAAACTCATTCTCACAAAGTCACAAGGTCAAACCACAGAAACCCACTCTTATACAGTCACAAGGTCAACAAGTCAAACCACAGAAACTCATTCTTACACAGTCACAAGGTCAACAGGTTAAACCACAGAAACTCATTCTTACACAGTCACAAGGTCAACAGGTCAAACCACAGAAACTCATTCTCACAAAGTCACAAGGTCAAACTACAGAAACCCATTCTTACACAGTCACAAGGTCAACAAGTCAAACCACAGATACTCATTCTTACACAGTCACAAGGTCAACAGGTCAAACTACAGAAACCCATTCTTACACAGTCACAAGGTCAACAGGTCAAATCACAGAAACCCATTCTTACACAGTCACAAGGTCAACAGGTCAAACCACAGGAACCCATTCTTACACAATTACAAGGTCAACAGGTCAAACCACAGAAACCCATTCTTACAAAGTCACAAGGTCAACAGGTCAAACCACAGGAACCCATTCTTACACAATTACAAGGTCAACAGGTCAAACCACAGAAACCCATTCTTACACATTCACAAGGTCAACAGGTCAAACCACAGAAACTCATTCTTACACAGTCCCAAAGTCAACAGGTCAAACCACAGAAACTCATTCTTACACAGTCACAAGGTCAACAGGTCAAACCACAGAAACCCATTCTTACACAGTTACAAGGTCACAAGGTCAAACCACAGAAACTCATTCTTACATAGTCACAAGGTCAACAGGTCAAACCACAGAAACTCATTCTTACACAGTCACAAGGTCAACAGGTCAAATCACAGAAACTCATTCTCACAAAGTCACAAGGTCAAACCACAGAAACCCACTCTTATACAGTCACAAGGTCAACAAGTCAAACCACAGAAACTCATTCTTACACAGTCACAAGGTCAACAGGTTAAACCACAGAAACTCATTCTTACACAGTCACAAGGTCAACAGGTCAAACCACAGAAACTCATTCTCACAAAGTCACAAGGTCAAACTACAGAAACCCATTCTTACACAGTCACAAGGTCAACAAGTCAAACCACAGATACTCATTCTTACACAGTCACAAGGTCAACAGGTCAAACTACAGAAACCCATTCTTACACAATTACAAGGTCAACAGGTCAAATCACAGAAACCCATTCTTACACAGTCACAAGGTCAACAGGTCAAACCACAGGAACCCATTCTTACACAATTACAAGGTCAACAGGTCAAATCACAGAAACCCATTCTTACAAAGTCACAAGGTCAACAGGTCAAACCACAGGAACCCATTCTTACACAATTACAAGGTCAACAGGTCAAACCACAGAAACCCATTCTAAACACAGTCACAAGGTCAACAAGTCAAACCACAGAAACTCATTCTTACACAGTCACAAAGTCACAAGGTCAAACCACAGAAACCCATTCTTATACAGTCACAAAGTCACAAGATCAAACCACAGAAACCCATTCTTACACAGTCACTAGGTCAACAAGTCAAACCACAGAAACTCATTCTTACAGTCACAAAGTCAACAGGTCAAACCACAGAAACTCATTCTTACACAGTCACAAGGTCAAACCACAGAAACTCATTCTTACACAGTCACAAGGTCAACAGGTCAAACCACAGAAACTCATTCTTATACAGTCACCAGGTCAACAGCTCATCAAATGTAACCAAACTTAGAGATGTTGATATGGTTACTATGGATACCTGTACATTGCCTCCTCCACCCTGGGCCCAGTCACACAACTGTGGACAACATCATCCAATTGCATAATTATATCAGCACCTATAAACCACAAACATTAACTTAAGGTCTTACTTCATCTTATTCACTGGTTTTAAAATTGAATTCATTTTCATTAATATTTTTATCTGTGTATTCAATCTCTTTTTTCATCACTATTTCAAGTTATTCAAAATACTAAAAAGTAAGGTAATTCCTTAAAATACCAGCATTGATCATCTATTTTTTGAACCCATGTCAAAGCTGCAGTCACAATATTCCCATTCTGATTTCAAAGTATTTTTTATGAAGAGAAGTGTGTATTCACTAAATTGTGTTTACTAAGTTTAATATACCACCCCAAGGAATATTCTTCACATTGCCAAATAAGACAATCATTAAAAATTTCACTCCTGAACACCTTACCTCTTACCTGATCTTATTTGGCAATATAATTCCATCCACATTTATTCTAGTTTCAGCAGAACTACTGGTACTACTTTACCATTACTCTATTAAAACTCTAAATCCCTACTTTTAGGAAATGGTTAAATATGAATGTTGACTCCATAAATACATATCCTTATATAACTTTATATGTTACTATAACATAAATATGAATATACTTGTCTGATAATTTACCTTTTCAAAAATATAAGTTTTGGTACCAATTATACCAATACCTGGTGCATGTACAACTATCAATTTCTAATAACAAATACTTGTACTCATTAACCTTGGGAAGTTCGTAATATATTGACAAAACTTACCAATAGCGTTTTGTATTCTTATAGACATTTCAGGGGTGAGCATCATCTCCGAGTCATCATGTGGAGACTGAAACTTCACTCCCTCTTCTGTTATCTCAGCTAACTTCAGCAGCGACACCATCTGGAACCCTCCACTGTCCTGACAACAACCATTTAAAATTTAAATGTATCACATGAATTTATAATATATTCGAATACCCACTTACCCGGTAGGTTATTCAATAGTAAGTAAGTGGATCAATTTTCACACAAAGTAAGAGCCTGTCTTCTTGCAGGACCTACAGTAGAAACTCTTGGCATTTCATGTGAAGTGCTAGTGACATGGGTGGACTCTTCGTGAGGCATGCATGAGTTAATTGAAATAGCAGTTTGATATAAGAATTTTTGAATCACACTGTGAATTCTAAAATATATTGCATTAAGAATTAGAAAACAATGCATTTTTCTATGTAAACATAAACTATTGATGAACTTCAAACATAAACTTAATTTACAATCAGTTACCGTCAGTAAACATCTGTTCCACTTCATGAAATTGTGTAGACCTCCAGCTTTCTCCAACAATTCCGGACCCTAAAACATTATTACATATTGAAGAATATATAGAAATTTTTCAAGTATCATGTCCACATCAAGATTTTGATTTTACTACTTTACTACAGTACTAACAACAAATAGTCATTCTTAAATAACATCAACCTTTTTAGATATTGGTCTTGGGATGATAATGTTCATGGAAATGGTAACAACAAGTCAAAATTTCAAGAGGGAGAACAAGCTCAAATTTGTTAGAAATCTGAGGAAGGAAATATCTGGACACAAGGGAAAAAATTGTGTAATAAACAAATGGCAATAACTCTTCACAAAATTATATAATTACTAGTATGACATGATGTCATTAAGGAAAACTAAATTTCATGTAGAGATTATAAAATCTTTCATGTTTCTGAGAAATTGGACTGGATTATGGTAGCTAGCTAACTTATAATCATTTCAATTTGTACCCACCCACTCATACCCATAGAAATTGATGAACTCATACCAATTTTTGGCGATCCTGTATCTATCATTTTTCATCAATTAATAAAAAAGATAGTTTTTACTTTGCACTGTGTTTTATTGTTACTTTTTAATGTTATATGTTTAATATGTAGTACTGTGTTGAGACACAAAGCATAGCAAACATATTAATGCATGAAAAAGTTATTGGGATAATGAATCTGTCTTTTCTATCAGGAATCATTTCAGATGATTGATGTCAAAATCTTAACTAATAAAAACAAAGTACTTTCGTGTTGTACACATGAAACCATGTTACCAATGATGTTGTGAGTGTAGCATATACACTTATTGTTTGAAACGATTGATGTCAGAATCTGAAATAATTAAAACAAAGTATTCTTTTCTAAAGGGTTAGATTTAACTTTCCATTATTTGGTTATTTTTCCTCAAATGACCTATATTTTTTGGTAAACTTCTTTTTATAACAAAACCTATTTCAAGAAAGTTACTTTTCATCTGTAAGTCTACAACTCTCTAGTTAAATCAAATCAGAAATGAGTCATCAAAAGTGACAATTTTAAAATCCTCATTTTTCCAGATCAAGTTGTGCATATTTGAACTTTCGTAGCCAAAAAATTGTAAGAAGGTGTGGCATATTATTCATTTTGATTTTCATTCACGATCGAATCAATGGATTGATTAGTTATTTCATCAAATCTTGAAGGGTGTTTGACACTGAAAATTGTGTATTAAGAAAAAACACAAATTTGCTAAAGAATTACATACTCATATTATTTTATGGTGAATATTTTTTAATCAGGATTATTTTATTCTTTCTGGAAGTGTTACATATTACAACTACTTAAATTATCCAGGTTTGAGGTCATGCAACATGATCCACAGCATTCTCAATATGATCACTTTTGTTCTCTTCACCCTTGAACTTTTCTTTCTTTTTTGGGGCTTAACATTCATGTTCTAGTTATAACCGAGCCTAGGACACCTGCACCACTGAAACATGTGATGGCAAAATTAACCATCGATTTCTCAATGTGTTGCATTTTGAGGTGTCATCATCGACCTTTCTCTCAGTACTCTTTTAATATCTGGGGAACAATTTGTTCACATCAAGTTCAAATTAATGACAAGATCTCTGTTCCAATTAGAGTATGGGCCCATATATAATTTTATTGATTTTGAACCACTATGGTAAAATATTTTGAAGTTGGTGAAATATATTTTTAACGGAATACTATATGACAATAAGATTCTGAGATTTTAATCTACAGAAAAGTGAAGAAAAATCCCCTAACATCTCCAAATATAAGCCCAATGCCACTAAACATGTGCATGTTAACAAATATCGTACCGGTCTGTTGCCTAGATGATAGGTATTTCCCAACATTATTTTACAGTCTAGTTCTTCGAGCTGTTCCGGAACAAGACCTTTAAGAGTACCCTGAGTTCCAACAGGCATAAACACGGGCGTGTCAACTTCAAAATGAGGTAACCTTAACTTGGTTGCTCTTGCTTTTGTAGTTTTACATTCTGCTAATATCCGAAGTGACAGAGCATGTGCTCCTTTGGAAGCCATATTTTTTGGGATTCCCTTTTAAGCCAATGAAATTTGGCGAAACATATTCGTTTTGGCACCTTGTTTACACATCACAAATATCAACAAATCACATAGCTTTTAACAAAACGATGCGGCATTCGCGCATGCGCAGGTCTTGCAGTCACATTTTCCAGCATGGATGTCGAAAGTGCAACGGATTCGCCAGACGTTTCTCCTTTGGGTGGAGATTCTGCAATGCAATGGAAATCGATTTCTATTACACATGTGGAATATCCAAAAGGTGACCTATTCACCAATTCTCAGTTGCTATCTATAGTACTTCATCTTTCTATTTTGTTAGCATATTTCTTCGGGGCTCCCGCGATGCATAGCCCGAAGTCGATCTGCTTTTAGTGTGATCTCAAAAACTGAATATACGTCAAGCGCACACTAAATCAAAGTGTAATTTGTGGTTCACATCAATTATGGTGGTGTAAAAGATAAACATTTTAGTTCACTGAAGAAGCCGTATTTGCACAATAACAAAACTATATGCCAACATGGAGAAGTTTTGGGATACACAGACACTTGTATCTGGAATGTAATTAAACCGAGTAAAAAGTCCACAGTCAACTGCATATTATACGATAAAATGTTTAGCGGACGGTGGGCATTTGATCGAGTTGTTTATATTCCAGATACCTGGGCATATGGCTTATCACTTGTTCATTACAGCCAAGGTCATTTTGAGGCGGTCCCTATGTAGGAGGTGGTAGCTACCTCTATATGCATCGCGGGGTCCCACGTATGCAATTAATCACAATTGAGGTTAAGTACCATGCCTTAAGATGCAGGATACCACAAGATGGCATGTGATCTTGTTTCCATAGAAAGAAACAAAGCAACCAGGTATTTGCAATGGGATCACAAACCACACACCTCAGATCTTTGGAGGTTAATAAGTGCAGTGCTCTTGGCACCATCTTAGCTATCATACCTATTGAAATGTGTGCATGTACTGTATTTTGAATAGTGGTAGTATCTGCAGAACAAATCTTTTAAAATTTTAGAACCATTAGACTATAATGGTTGTCAACAAAATATATTTATATGATGAAGGATATTATATACTTTGCTGGCTAAAGTGGTTTGTGTCTTTTTGTACAAATCCAACCAGCAAATCCAGACCAAAGATGTTTAGTTTTTACATATGAAAAGAAAACCAGGCATAAACAAACATGCTTGTGCAATTTGAATGCCAATGTTAACAACTGTTTAAGTCCATGGGGGACTTCGTGGGGTAAGATATAATGTACATTATAGATTTTAGGATTAAGTGAAGCTTTCAAGATTGATTTCTATTTAAAGTGTTTCCATCTGTACCTCCCAGGTCCCTATATGTATGTACCTGATGCATATGTATCAGTGTAACAAAAACACATTTCTGTCAGGTGTAGCTGATCTGAATCAAATTAGCTAGATTACCCAGTGTTCTGCTAGCTGAGCCATAGAAGCAGACTCTAACAGCTGATCGAGAGAAGCCGTTTTTGACTCTTAAATACAATTCAATGCAAATTTAAGGGACTTGCTTTTCTGAAATATTTAGGTGATTTCAAAGAAGTTCTTTCAAATCATCAATCTAACAGTTTACTTGTTTTCCTATTAAGATGCAAAAAAACTGTGATATTTTTGCTGAATATTGGATTAAGCCACCCTGGCTATAATTTGTTAAGTGATTTGAATTTATTGGATCTAATTGATTTGTTTTATTAATTACCTCATAAATTTGATTTTCAGGTGACTTGATTGGATTTTTCCTCGCCTGGGTCAGTCTACTGCCATTCTGTATCATAGTGGGGTTTATAACCTTGATAATATTTAGGCGGGACCTTCACACTGTAAGTACTGAAAGTATAACATACACATCATCATCATGTTGGCTGCAGATATTTTTGCAGGATTTTTACAGGCAAATCCACAGCACCTTTTCCAAAACATTTCAAGCCCCATTACTAAGTGATACATTATTAGGGTTCTCTAAATCCTTTGTGTATAGGAAAAAAACATGTGTCAATGAGAACTCCATTACCTGAGTTCCGAAAAACAGGAAGGTCTTGTTTTATCACTTGCAATGCTGAAGGCTGACTTCGAAATAAATAGGGTTAGAATATCAAGGCTTTAATAATTGGAAAAAGAAATATCCTGAAAAAGATGAGATGCAATCGGCACATTTGATAAAATTTGGATTTGGATATTGACTGAAAGAGTAACAATGGAGCTACTGATCAGTATCAAGTTAACAAACCTTTAAGTGTAAAATTGAAGTTGTCTCCCTTTTTATGTTAATGAACAGTAAGATCAATTTCAAATTTATCAAAAATATGAACTAAATGTACTTGTTGCAGTTTATACACTAAATATTTGCTTTATAATGTTGAATCTGTTACATGATAATATATTCAAGATCTCAACTATTTTGTGCAAAAAAGGCATGCCCACAGAACAAAATACAAAGATATTTTTGAAAGTTTTTCTGTGTTTTGATTGAAAAATTATATTTATCATTTCCTTTCATGTAAATATGAAAATCTGTTGAAATAAAGAGGAAAGTCTTATCGAAATAAAGATTTCTCAAGTGATTTCAGACATCAACATCGTTTCTGAAACTGGATGTCAAATTTGGCCAATTTTAAGTAAATTTGGAGAAATCAAAACAAGCCATGAAGAATGATAGTATACTTATTGCAATATATCAAATACGTCTAAAAAAAACCTTCTCTTTCCAAACTATTGAATAGTCCTTGTCATGTAAATTTTTTTACTATATTTGATACTTATTTAGCTCCATTTTTTGTTTTGATTTCAGATTTCTTATTTTGCTGGTTTACTGCTGAATGAAGTTATAAATTGGCTATTGAAACACCTAATACAAGCTCCACGCCCCATCAGACGTAAGCAGTTTGATATGGAAATAGAGTTTAAATAAAGTTAATTTACTGTCAATAAAACAGCTGATGTGATTATATAGGATAATCACTTCATTGACTAAGTAGAAAATTATATAAAAAAAATAAGAAGAAATTACTAATGAGGCTTAATAGAGGAAGCAGCTCTGTGGTGATGATTGTACAAAAGAAGAGATAAGTGAATAGCATCTTTCAACACAAATTTAAAATCTGATAACGTAGATACAAGGAATGAATTAAACTACATCATACAGCTGATTCATCCTTGTAGGATTCATCAGTGATGCCAAGGGTCAAACGTTGGAAACTTAGGAGGCAACTTAGGAAAACAAAAAATAGAAAGAAGTGTACAAAAAAATCGAAAGAAGTGTCAAAAACCAGATTGGAAGGTGCACTCACGTCATAATTCAATGAATATTGAAACTTGCTTATATATTTGTTAATTTCAGGTTTTCACTTTCAGCTAACTATTGTTTTAGCATACATGTAAAACTATCACTATTTGTTTGGTTGTCTGTAAATTTACATTTTTGTTATCGGTTTTCAGATCGTCAGCTTTACACAGAGTATGGAATGCCATCAAGCCATGCTCAGTTTTCCTGGTTTTTCTCCACATACATGATTCTATTTTTATTTCTTAGGTAAGTGAACTGAATTTACGTTCTTATTATGGTACCAGTATAGTCAAAAAGGTATTTCTGAATTTACCGCTAGATTTTCAATCAACAGAATCTGATACCATCACCAAAATTTGAATTACAGCCTATTGTCACAGTCTTTTGAACTAAATATTACTACCAATTATTACCTTTCTGATTGGTCAAAAAAAAAAGTAAATGAGTTTACCATATTACCAAGAAGCAGTCATGTGCTATAAATATGCTGTTTTTCAAAAGGGTGTCATGCATGCATATGATCGCTCTAAGACAAACATGTATTATACTTATCAAACATATCTGTGATGTTGGCAGATACATGTCAGCTTCATCAGGGTATATGAGACATGTACTGGGTAGAAAACAATGAAATTAAGACTTTGAAGTTAAAGTTATTTATTTCGAAATGTAAAATATTGAAAAGCAACATTAATTTAAAGTTTTAATGTTGCTATGGGTTCAATATCCAATACCACTGATCTCCTGTTTTGGAACTTGAAATTATTTCAGTAAAATGTTTATTTTACACAAAGTTCACTTAACTGGATGTAAAGTGTATTCAGAATTTCATATTTTTCTGTTGTTAACCATTTTCTGTACAAGTGTTTGGTTGTTTTGCATGTGATAGATTACATCTTACATTTGAAATTACAAATACATATATTATCAACATGTGTACCCTTTCAGTAATTTCAGTACTTCAATTTTTTTTTTTGTCTTTTCAGAATTTATAAAAATTATAACTTGATAGATGATATATGGAAATACTGTGTCAGTGCAATATGTGTCACAGCATCTTCTATTATTTTATATAGCAGGTAAGTAACAATGTGTGCTATGATCATTTTCTGAATAAGAAAACTATTTTTGAAGTCTTGAATATCATATGTAAACTATTATGTTAAAGTAAAAACATGATCACAGTTGTTTGGTTGATTTTGTTAATCAATTCATGACAGTGTTTTTTACAACAGACATTACTTTTGTTCAAGGGTTTATTTAGGATACCACACATTTGGGCAAGTGTCCTGTGGAGCTCTGCTTGGTATATTTTTTGGAGCAGCATGGTTTTGTATTGTCTATGTTGTATTAACTCCATTCTTCCCAATCTTGGCCTCAAGGTAAGAATAAGTGATGTTGATGCCAATAAAATCCTATTATAAAATTATATATCCTGATAATTTTCTTAAAGTGGGTAAACTTGATTCTGTTGATGGTTGCTGTTGTTTCACTGTGTTATGATATACCTGTAGAGAGCGCAAACCCAACACATGAAATAATCACTGGAATAACGTTTGCCATGCAGCATTAGATTCAGCTTCTGTGGGTTACATTGAGAGTATACAAGTGTTGGAATTTGTAGTAGTAGTAGTAAATTTGTAGATTTTTTTGGTGAGTCCAGAGCACCATTTCCATAATTTTGTTGAGTCCAGTAACAAAAAGGTAAGGAGGTTCTAAAATTTGAGTGAATCCCACTGAAAGATATGAAACATTTGAGTTTAAAAAAAGGAAGTAATAGTGTTATTTTAGTATAAAATACTGACACTGTATTAATAGGTATGTTTTCTGAGTCATCATGAACATGCCTTTTGATAGAGCACAAGCGTAATCCATTTCACCATCAACCTAATATCAGAAAACACATCTCCAAACAAAATACTAAAATTAATGTACAGCTTTGTGTGTTTCAGCCCTATAGGTGAATTTTTGATGCTTAGAGACTCAACATTGATACCCCATGTCATGTGGTTTGAGTATACTTCTTCCAGGACAGAGGCAAGGTGAGAATTTGTTCTGAGGATGTACTCTTAATAATTAAATTATTTGGATTGGTTTATCATGGTCATCATTTATAATAAACTTAAAATGAAATTTTGAGATTTAGTTTACTAACAGCTGTTTAAGAGTAAATAAAATGTATTAAATGATGTGAAAGGAATATTTATAATGAATGTTAGTAAGGATTTAAGTTATTTTAACATTTTTTATGTTACTAAGTAGAGGGAGATAACTTCATCATATGAAGATTGTTAAAAAGAACATTACATAAAGACTATTACTATGCCTGCCTTTCACAGGAATTCCTTAAAATAAATTTGAGCCATAATTTGTTCAGACTTTTCCAAAATTTGAACAACTACCAAACGAAAATATATTTAACCTTTCACAAAAACATAAGTTGTAAGATGATCTATTAGAAGTGGAACTGAGCAGTCTTTGTAGACTTGTGGATTATATGCCACTGTAGTCCCTAGAATCTATACAAAGCAATACTTAATTCAATGTTTGAAATGTTTACATATATTTGTAAATTTTTAGAGACATAAATATTTTTCCGACAGGGGCAGACAGAGAAAGTCCAGGAAGTCTCAATGACTGGGCCGTCATTAGGTGTACTAGGTCAGCATGTATAGAGTGATCATCAGAATCCTACCAGCTACCCTGATGATAATAATGCTCCAGAGTTAAGCTTCATGGAAATGTTTGACTTCATGCAGACCAATTTCAAGTTCAGGGTTTACATGAGACTGACTTTGCTTGTCTTGTGTCATCAATATTATGATCCTCGACCATAAATATACCCATGACTACAGGTCTTATATTGTTTACTCATCATGGTAAATTCATGTCTATGGAAGGTCAAAGTCACACGTCCATACCACATTGGGTTTTAATTTAAGATAAATGTGTAAAGGTGGTGGTTACAATTTATGAGTAGGGTTGTAACCAATGTGTAACCAAAGAATTATGTATGTAATGAATGAAGTCAATTTGAATGATTTGACATTTTCTTTATAAAAAGTGGAGATGTTTAAATTGACCCAAGGTTTATGTAAAATAGTATATAAATGTTACATTATTAAAGTATTGTTACTTGATGAGATTGAATAGAAATAAATTATTTGGCTTGATTGTTTATTTTGCTAATGATTGATGAATTAGTTTGTTGTTTTTTCTAATCATGTCTGATTAGTTTGAGGTATATATATATTGTTAAATCTTAAGTGGATTTTGCTGACTGTTATTGGTTGGTATTTTTTTTTAACTCTTTATTTTAAGATTATAGATATAATTATTTTTATAGATAAATATTATTTATGTCAACAGGAAAGGGCAATTGTATTTTATATACATGATATTGCCGAAGACCATATTGTTTTGTGTTGTATATCTTTGTGTAATCATTTACAACTGTTCAACAGTAACTTAACGGTTTTGTATTGTGCTGGATGTGTGCTTCACTAATTCATGCTGTATGTCATAAGACCCTCTCTGTCAAAGTCTAGGCTAAATTAAACATAATGATAGCATTTCTTATCCTCTGAAGAGACAATTTAGTCTACTAACACCTTTAAAAGCCGTGAGGTACCAAAAGTATGCATGTCACCTTCATATTATTTTATAGCGGTTTTAATCATTATAATGGAACTTTTAACCAAATCTGGGATAGCACAGCATTTTGGCGTTCCAGGAGATATAGTATGTTACATAACTTACTTGTAACTTTGCATTGTTATACTAACAATATTTGAGTAAGCTATGTTTTGGTGTATTGATTTTAACTTGGAATAACATGCACACTTGTGGATCAGAGTACGCAAACAACTGTGCATAAGCAGTAATTTATACATTTTGTATTTATGTAATGTATATCTACAGGATAGGGGTTTTTAGATGTTGGGTTAAAAATGCCAAGAAAGGTGAGAGAGGACTTGATTATCAAAAATTGATTGTCCCTTTCTAAGTTGACTATTACCATCATCATGTTAAAATGAGGTACCAGATAATAGCATGATGAAATATTTGTTTCAAGTCATTTTCTACAAAATGTATTCTTTAATAATCTTGCAAATTAATATTACAGTTGTTTGAAATTTGAGCATTTGCAGAACATAGAAATGACTACATTTGTACATACTGAAGAAGTTGGAATTGTTCCTAAACGCTCTCAGCCCTTTAATTTACAAACACTTGCTTTATACTGGGACTTGTTTGTTTATTTGGACAAAAAAGTTTGTTGGCACTTTAACAATGCATTCACCAATTAGACAGTTGGTCGAGCTTGTCAAACTGATAAACACACCAGGAATTTAAATACAGTCTCAAAATGACACATAAAATGAATTACAAAGGGGAATAACTATGGTGCAAAATGCCCTTTTCTAAGTATATGTTTGCTAGTCCTTCATAAATGTGTAAATACTTTAAAATGCAGCTGCATGGTGGTATTTATCCTCACAATTTTAACTTCCTTGGTGATACTGTTTACTTTTAACTGAATATTAACTTTCATAGTTTTCCCACTTTTTGAATGTAGTGCTATATGACATGTGTTTTGAAATGTCTAAGCATTGGTACTTCATCCACTTAGCATTAGAATCACTTAACCAAAAACTAAATTTATGGCATGGTAAATTCTAATGATGTATTGCTTTAGAAATATTTTTTGAAGAATTACAATGATCTTCATACTTGAAAATATGATGTTTAGATATTTTAATATTTTCAATTACAGTTTTAACCAAAGTGTAATATTTACATGGAATTTACTCACAAATTAAAGACTTAGGTTCGTGAATACAGACACATTGTATTTCCTAACAGTGACAACAAACTAAATAAAATGTCAGATATGTATTTGGATGATGTGATAAATTTACAGAATGGTTGTCTTTCTTATGTTAATAATAGCTGCAGCTTTGTGTTTCTATTGACTTTATGGAAAAGAACTTTTGATTGTTATAAACATGTCTGTAGTAATTCTTATTGAGAGTGAAAATTGATTTTCATTTTATATTCTGATTTAACCATATGGAAAAAAAAAATATTTGAACATGATATATAAAATGAAGTCTCTGAAAATATGGACTTGTGATGGGAGATAACTCTGGAAACTTAATACTGAGTTTGCTGATAACCCTACCGATGTATTGAAAGATCACTGGAGAAATATGGGAATATTATTGCTTGTTTCTTCCCATACATTTTATCCCAATGTGTAAAGCATTGTCATGGCATTATCATTTTGCAATAAAAGATATAATATTTAGGATCATATTTATGTACCATTAGAACTTGTTATATGTAATTCCCTCATACACCATAGTCATGTATTTCTCATTTGGTGAAAGAGAATTAATTAGTCTTAAATGTAGTTACCTTTTTTTCCATGGTGAATGTTTTGATGTATTAAGGTTGTTGGGTTATGATTATGCAGTACAGACATACTGTATTATTATTCTGTTGATTCACTTATTGATTGTACTGTAATGGGCCGTCCAGCTTCTGTCATTTTAATCAACTGCTGTTGCTCAAGTTTCTTGATTACATGTTAATTTGAATATTGATTCTTTTTGTATTATGTAACTGTTCCCTGCTTACTAAAACTGTTTCTACAGGCCAGGAATACATGTACTTCATTGTATCGTAAGTTATACAAATGAAATCTTGAAACATTTTCTTGTTTAAGAAATTAAACTCTCTCTTTTAATAATATCAAAAAGGATTTTAACAGGTTGAAAAGAGAAAAACTTTTTTTGAAGAAAAAAATGGAAAGCATAAAGTAAAAGTTGGACAAGATTGATTTGTAAGTTCAATTTATTTAAAACATGAATTTACAGTACATTGAAGTCTTGGCTAGATGTAAGGTCCTTCCTGAGTATTTCAGATGGTAGACTTTTCTTAGTTTCCTGCATTTTCAGACTGCTTTGATTGTTTTAGTATTTCATGTCTAAAAAAATAAATTGGATTCACCTGAATATTATTAAGACATTTCATACTGTGATCGAACTTCCACTTGAGTTTTCAGCCTGTTATAAAAGTTTTTGGGTCATTATCAGCCTGACCACCAGGACACTATCAAAGTGTCAAGAGTTGGAACTAGGTGACAAGATAAGAACAGTAACATGTCGTAGACTTTGCATAAACTTTTCTTTTGAAGTAACAGCTATGTTTCTCCGCTTCACATCATTCTTTTTTTTCCTTGACAGTAATTTGTCCAGTGTTGGTGAAATTTTGGAATACACACCTTCCTTGATTTAGTTTATCTTAATTCACACCACATATACAGTAAAACGCAACTATCTTTCTGAAGCAGTGAAAAACATCAACTTTTTGCTTTGTATTCAAATAAATTGGTAATTAAGTGACCATTGTTAAGTGAGTCAGATGTTAATGTATTGTATAAACTGTTTAATAATTCATAATACAAACCTTAGACACATCACCATAAATACATTTGTTTCATCTTGTTATATGCATGAAAGATGGTGTTTTTTTTGGTTATATATATATATTTGGTGGTGATGTAAAAAAAATGCTGCACAATACCTGCTTGAGATTTTGCTGAACTACAGGAATACCCTAGTGTGAATCCATCACCTGTCCATTAGTCAGTCCAGCATCAACTTTTTCCTCTTCTTCTCAAACCAAAATGAAAAGGACCAGGGTGCTAACATTGAGCATGTTGCATACTGGGATGAAAAACTAGCAAATAAGTGACCTTGGCCAACTGTCAAGGTCACAGGGGTCAGATGTGATGAAATCTCCAAACTTCTACTTAACAATAAAACATCTTGGGTACTTATATCAGTTTTGTAGTATTGCTACAAAGTTTGTTCAAACGAATGACCTGGACCCATTTTCACCGTTAAATGGATTAAATGTGGTTAAACTTTAAAAATCTTGTTTTAGATATCCAAAATGGCTAAGTGTTCTGATAATGGCCCTGTTGCATGGTAGAATGAAGGACTACCAAGTTGGTTCAAGTGATTGACTTTTTCCACTTTCAAGGTCACAAGGGCCACGTGATTAGAAATTAAGCTTTCTTTTCAATAGGCAATTGGTCCTGGTGATTGTGTTGTAGCATACTTGAGGAATAGGCTTTCAAGTTAGCAAAACATTGCTTCAGCTACAGAACAATGTAGAATTGTAAGCTGCAGGATTGGACCTATTGAACCTCTGGAATTTGTCTAAAATAGTTCATAAAGTCAATACAACTTCTTGGATATTAAAATGGATACATTTTTAGGTTTTCTGACCTTAAGATGTCAGACGTTACTCCTTTTTAATGCTTGAGTGGGTTTCAACCAAATTTGGTCCAAAACATCGTTGATAGTGGGAAATTATTTAGCCCCTAAGGACTTTGGGATGGGACCTCAGAAGGGAAAGTTGAACAATATGTTGCTTCAAAATACTTCTCTTTTTTAATGCTTAAATGGATTTCAACCAAATTTGGCATTTGGGTAGTGCATGTGTAAATGATATGGTTTCCAGTTTGCAGAAAATGTCTTAATGAACCAACCATGCCTTCTGTGTAAGCTGTAATTGAGCAATGTATTTTAGGCCTATTTTGCCTCTTTCATATAAAGGCCTTATAGTCAGAAGACCGGTAAGGCCCATGGGCCTCATGTTTCAAATACATTTTGAAACGCTGATTATTTCATGATAAAATAAACAATTCACTTCATCATCTATATTACGTAGGAAAAATTAAGTTGCGCGAGATAAATCAGATTTACGTCTTGTGGAGTTCTCAAACATAGGGAAAAGTACAGGGCCATGCATACAATTATATCTTATCTCCGTCATAATAACGAGAAGACTGGTCATTATCTGTATACGCTAGGCAGTATTTGGACTATAGAGCTATATTAATATACTGATCTACAGCCAGTAGTTACAGGACCATGTATGATCACGTGTTTTAGAATGGTACCTCCCGGAGACCATGCTTAGTAACTCTAAGCTGTAGGCAACTGTACTAAAGGCATATCTCTAAGCTGTAGGCAACTTTACCTAAGGGCATAGTTGTAAGCTGTAGACAACTGTACCAAGGTCATATCTGTAAACTGTAGACAATAGTAACAAGGTCATATTTGTAAACTCTAGACAATAGTACCAAGGTCATATCTGTAAACTAGACAACTGTACCAAGGTCATATCTGTAAACTAGACAATAGTACCAAGGTCATATCTTTAAACTAGACAATAGTACCAAGGTCATATCTGTAAACTAGACAATAGTACCAAGGTCATATCTGTAAGCTGTAGACAAATGTACCAAGGTCATGTCTGTAAGCTTTAGACAACAGTGCCAAGGTCATATCTGTAAACTATAGACAATAGTACCAAGGTCATAGCTGTAAACTGTAGACAACTTTACCAAGGTCAAATTTTGGACTGGTTGTGAATACCATACATATTGTGACTAATTTTCAAAGATTTTAAAACATACATACAGAATATTTTGTCTTATCGACTTCAATATTTAAAAAAAAGTATCAAAATGATTGAAAATAAAATTGTCTTCCTCGGTAAGAGGATGAAACACTTGGTGCACGTCTCATCTTCGATCTGCTTTGTCGCAGGAAGTGGCTTATCGTTGTGATTCACGCATGCTTTCCATGTGTAGTGTTGTCCTTTCACTTGCTGTCCACGATCCCTTCAGCTCGGATTTAGTGCGAATGGACTATTTAGATTGAACTGATATCGGACATTTGCAGATGTAATCAGTTGTGTTTAATCCAAATCAACTGACTCCCTGTTTTACAAATTAATTTTGTACAAAAACCTTTTCAATTAAACGGTTGTTCATATTTAACATCCACAGCTCATTCGTGTTTGTCAGCCCTGTAGATTATTTGAAGAATCATGTATGAAAGCCGTCCTTACAAGTTAATTAATACTAGGATGGTAAAACGAAAGGATTGCAGCTTTCATATACAGTAAAACCTCATTCTCTCATACTCTTATAACTCGAAAATCCTGTATAGTTCGAGGTATTTCGGCGGTCCTGGCCAAACTTTACACTAAATATTTCACCACTGAAATAGAATTATCGGATCACGCGAAATTTTCCCACGGTCTCGCAGACTTCGGGATAACGAGGTTCAACTGTACAAATTATTGTTTCAAAAACGTTTGAAAACCACACCAAGCAACAGCCAATGTTTCTGAATTGTTTTCTTACAGACTTGAATTTAGCATCATACAATTATATCATTACGAGTACGTATTGTCCTTTCTGTCTAACGGATGTTCGGGAAGTCACACAATATTTGTTATTTTTTGTAAACTAATATGTTTTAAGAATTATATGTAATATGTATGACTTTATCAAATATTGAAACTTGTCTAATCTCATGTTGTTTGGTTGTTGTTATTTATCTGTTATATATAGTGGCCTTACTGGATTAAAATGACATTAATCCATATGCTCGCTCAGAAAGACCCTCTGCCTACTTCCATCCAGGTCAACATGCAGTGATTAATATCATTTATTTCATAATTGTCTTGAAATAAAGGATTTCAGATACAGCGAAAAGATAACGTAACATGAGGTAACTAGGAAAGAAAATGCATGTATAAGAATAAAATGTTCTGGTAGTTTTATCAATGGATAATGGAGGATGCCCATACCGCGTGCTTCATACAGCTGGAAGGCGACAGAGGAAAATATTGTACCGAAGTAAATGTCAAATCGCAGATGGAAATGAATACAGCAAGACTTCAAAATAACCTCATATACAAGTATCTACCCTGAGCCGTGCGAGAAACATCTGGGTTTAAATTTTACCATATGTCTACCACCTGCAATCTCAATGGATTTTACCAACGACAAAAACGTGAAGAAATTTTCAAATTAGAGTTAGAAACTGAATAATACTGATTGTTCCATCCGTTTACGAACTGTCAGCGATAGGAACCCAAAAACGTGGCGAAACAAAAGCATGGCTGGGTCATTGCTAATCGTAATTAGACAGTACATTCGCAGTGTAGGACTTAAATAACACATTTTAATATCGAAATAATACTCAAGGATAAGTCAATGGCTTCAGAGATTCATATATATATAGCAATATCTCACCAGGTCATACTTATCTCAACGATACATTCAAGTACAACATCACCAATTTGTATAACGTACAGTAACAGTATTGTTTTAAATCCCGCCTACGGAAAGGCCCCATAAGCATAAATGAGCGCAACTTCCGAATCTCCGTGCCTGTCTAGAAAGAGTATAGCACTTCAGTCACTACGGATGGACAATGTGTCAATATAATTCGGATAATTACATATAGTGGATGCTCCATCAGTATAGGACGCAGCTCAATATCTAATGTAACGACGATACCTGTATACTGTTCACAGAGCAAGAGATCACAATCATCAAGGACTAAACACCATTGATGATGGCTGACAATATACCTTCGTTAGAGTTCTTTGACCGCCAACATGATATACAGAACATGTTACTTGTATCTGTGGTTACATTGATGTGTGTGTTTGGTTTATTTGGAAATGTCCACGTTGTCCTGGTCTATACCTGTCGTTTGAAAACCAAGACCACATTTAAAGGTTGTATCGTGTGGCTGGCAGTCCTTGACCTTATCAACTGTATAATTGTTATGCCAATGGACGTCACTTATTTCATGCATCCGTATTCTAACTTTAACAAAACCGAATGTAAAATGAGACATTATTTAGGACAACTGGTGACCTTCTCTGCTGTTGCTGTAACATTGATCATTGCTATTGATCGATATAGGAAGGTGTGTATGCCGACATTTCGCCAGATCCGTTACCGCGAAGGGCGGTTACTATGCGGTGTCGTTGTCGTGATAACGGGTTTAGCGCTGATACCTGTGCCTTTCATAATGGGCAAGGAGAAAGTGGAGAACTTGTCTTACAATATTACTCTTCATAAGTGCGGACTCGATGTATCATTTACAGATTCGGTTGTCCCCAAACTGGTAATATATATTTTTGTGATTGTTCTTTATGTGGCATCCGCGGCTGTTGTTGTTATCTATTTTCGTCTTGGAAAGTATCTTCGTCAACGAAATACTAACCTCTATATTCCTTCTGCCATTCGTCGACGAATTTCTCGTAAAGAAACATTTTCCAAAGCAGATCTTCTAAAAATGCAAGCCGATCCTTCATACCATCCTCCTCCATCTCCATCGTCTTCGACATCATCGGACGAAAGCAACTTCGTGTCTGAAGCTCAGCTACGTAGTGTTTTCCATACCAGAGATAGCGATGCACTGGAATACCAGTTTGATGTAACATCGGTACAGATGCCTGGCCGAACTTATAGTGTGTCGGATATAGATAGTGGCCTGGCCACTTGCAGTCAAATTAGCAAAGATAAACGTGATGTCTCAAATGCTCGGAAAAGAAAGGATGCGATCACTTCGATTGCTTCAATGCCTGACGAAGTGTGGCTGGACACTTTTGATGGTCAAGATTTGATGGATTCTAATACTGAAATGGAAATTAAAGATAAACAGAACCATGATATGGGGTGTGAGGAATTTTGCGTGGTAGATAACAGAGATAATTTATCTGATACCTGTGGACAACATGGGGACAATGCTTATGATTTACGCACCACTGACAAATATTCTGAAGAAATAACAACACTGACGAGAAATCAAATCGTCAGAAAACCACAAGCCCAACAAGATGACAAAGGCAAACCGCATGAGGGATCAGGTCATGCATTGGAGACAACCTCAACTGATCAAAGTGAGCAGCAACCACACAATGGAAGACGACTGTCAGCTAATACACGGAGCTGTAATTCGGTATTTTATAATAGAGTTTCTAGAAATGTCAACCAAGAGTTATTTCTATCAGAAAAACGTGAGCGAAGACAACATCGAAACAACACTGTCGTCAAGATGTGTTATATAATAGCAGTAGTGTGTTTACTGTGTCTTCTTCCAGCCACCATAACATTCCTACTGGCATTCGCCAAGATTGATAAAAGGCAGTTTGGATATGTGTTTATAAGGCTAGGCCATAGATCCCCGTACCTCCGAAGCTGTCTTAATCCATTCATATATGGATTTCTTGACACAAAATTCAGACGCGCATGCTTGGACGTGTATGCTATTCTGGCACAGAAAGTATGTTGTCGTTCAATCAAACCGAACCGAAATCTCAGCCATAGATCTACATACCGAACTCATTTCACTATCAATAATATGGGTATGAACTAAAGTTCACTCAAAATGTAAACTGTCCTGAATAATGCCTAGGTTACAAGTTTCCTCGGTGAGTTTGTGGCCTTTACGAATGGGTTGATGGTGTGTTAATGATGGTTAACATCGCGGACGTCAACACGCGGTCCACTTCTTGTTAGAGCTCTAAAGAATTCATTTCTTTATTGTTTATCGATAAGAAAATGGATTTTCACATTGCTAGAATTAATGTTACTGCTTCTTTGTTTATAATTCTCAACACATTTAGCGGGGCGAGGGATATTTATAAAAAGAGGAGCCTTTTGGTTGCTATGTTGCATGATGATTTGATAGCAACTTTGGTAATGATTTTTTCTTTATTGGTGGTAACTATGATAGTGAACAGTTCATTTATTGGTGGTAACTATGATAGTGAACAGTTCCTTTATTGGTGGTAACTATGATAGTGAACAGTTCCTTTATTGGTGGTAACTTTGATAGTGAACAGTTCCTTTATTGGTGGTAACTTTGATAGTGAACAGTTTCTCTATGCGTGGTAACTTTGATAGTGAATTGTTCCTTTATGCGTGGTAACTTTGATAGTGAACAGTTCGTTTATTGGTGGTAACTTTGATAGTGAACAGTTCCTTTCTTGGTGGTATCTATGAGTTCCTTTATGGGTGGTAACTTTGATAGTGAACAGTTCCTTTATTGGTGGTAACTTTGATAGTGAATTGTTCCTTTATTGGTGGTAACTATGATAGTGAACAGTTCCTTTATTGGTGGTAACGTTGATAGTGAATTGTTCCTTTATTGGTGGTAACTATGATAGTGAACAGTTCCTCTATGCGTGGTAACTTTGATAGTGAACAGTTCCTTTATTGGTGGTAACGTTGATAGTGAATTGTTCCTTTATTGGTGGTAACTATGATAGTGAACAGTTCGTTTATTGGTGGTAACTTTGATAGTGAATTTTCCGTTTATTGGTGGTAACTTTGTTAGTGAACCTTTCCTTTATTGGTGGTTACTATGATAGTGAGCTTTCCGTTTATTGGTGGTAACTTTGTTAGTGAACCTTTCCTTTATTGGTGGTTACTATGATAGTGAACCTTTCCTTTACTGGCGGTAACTTTGTTAGTGAACCTTTCCTTTATTGGTGGTTACTATGATAGTGAACTTTTCCTTTACTGGCGGTAACTATGAGTGTGAACTTTTCCTTTACTGGCGGTAACTATGAGTGTGAACTTTTCCTTTACTGGCGGTAACTATGAGTGTGAACTTTTCCTCTTAGAAGAAAACCATAAAAGTGAACTTTTCCTTTTTAGGGGTTTACTATAGTAGTGAATGTTTCCCTTACTGATAGTAACTCGAGTTCTTACCCTTGTCTGCGGTTCGCTTGATGCACATGTTGTTTGTTCACGAACACCTTGTGTGATTTAGTTTGGCGATTTTCTTGAGCACAAGAAATCAACTTGGAAATATTTCATTACTTCACGTGATTCTCATGGTGTTCAGTGTGGTGTAGTGTTTACTTTGAGAGCGTGGCTCAGACTTTTCTTAGGTTTACCTGACGGGACGTGGTCCATGTAACCGATCGCCAAATGTTTTGAAAACATATGATCGTAGTTTATCATTTTCCACTGCGTTGTTCACTGTGTAATCGCATAGCGATATCATTCCCATTGTGATACTGTGTACGTGTCTAGTTATACAACACATACACCATAATACAAATATTATTTAAAATCCGTTTAAACATACAGAGACATCTTTAAATATCGCATGTCATTTCCAAACAATTTCTGAACCGATTCCAGAAAATTGTGTCATAACATTTGTGAGGCTTTGTGGAACTAATTACATAATTTGAAAGTCAAGTGATAAATATTCGTCATACGTTAGCCTATAAAACGACCACCATTATACAAATTATGTATTTTTTATTTATCATATTCTTCGTAAGCAGTATACATTGTAGCCCCACTCTCGTATTCTACTTATTTAAGAAATAAGAACGATTAAGGCATTTAAAGACAGACATTATTAAAATATATATCACTGATTTTTTTGGGTTTAGGAAAATTGATCTGTCGCAAATTGTGTGATAGTTTGCTAATTTTTACTCTCTACTGACAGTCGGGAACCCATGTGTCTCTGCTCCTGTTGTTTCTGATGCTGTCCCACATTGTGGTCGAGGTGTGTCGCTATCGTCATCCACGAAGATATCTTGTGAATGACCGTGAGGGTGTTAAATGATGTGTACAAATACATACTTTAATCATATCATTTTTGTAATGTCGAATGATATTGAAAAGTCATTTCTTTTTTGATATATGTAAACTTGTTACACAACATATTTGTAATTCTCGCTCATTTATAAAGGAAACAAATATCAATAAAGCTGTACATTATTTAAATGTTTACATATTTATTTCATTTTCACTGGAAAAACCTCCCATCTGCCCTCTACTTGCTCTTTCACTACCACTTCTCAATCATGGGATTCGGCGGTTGTGGTGTGACGACTATTTAGTACATTTTAGGAGTGTGTGTACCTCGTGAACTTTGGTCATGTGAAGTGGCAGGCGTGTGATGATAGTGTTAGACAGGCGTACATAAATGTGTACATACATGCATGTATATATTATATTAAGATATTGGAAATTGTTCGGTTATTTTTTCTGTTCCTTTACCCCTCCTGAAATCTTTCCACGGGTGTACTGAGCCGTCACATTTTAAAAAATGAATATTCGTTGAGGAAAGTGCTTAATAAGCTGTCATTACCTATGTTAAATCCCTCTTGCTTAAATTACAGAGAAAAATAACAAAACGTGTTTTTGTTTAATAAGAAAACAATTTTGCTGGTGCTGGTTTTGAAGATTAAAGCTTCTTTTTAATGATAACGGTTTTTGTTAACTGTAGAAAATATTAATCTTAATAGCAAAACAAGTTTCTATTTAACTTCTGGAATTTGGGGGGGGGGGATGGAATAAAATATAAACATGAACAATCTAAAAGATTGTAAAATAAATGTTCTAAAGCCGAGCAACAATATTGATTATGATTATTACAAGTATTACACGCAGTTCAGTTAGTTTGTCATCATCCACATCTGATTTCCTTGGGGGTTACGTTACTTTTGATAAGTATTTTATATTGTGATTTGGGTCTAACTTTACAGTGAACAATTGCTGGGCTATTTTTATGTGAGAGGAGTATATATAGAAAATACATGGTCAGTTTCAGTGACACTGACCATTCTATTTATCCTTTAATATTGATTGAAATCAGACTATTGAAACTTAAACAGATTTTTTTGTTCAGTCTGTGTTTACCTGATGTTGACATTATGCTGAATTTTGCCTGATGACGGACGCCAAAGTAATTGCTCTGCACGGAAATAAAGTTCTCAAATTCATCTGATATAACAGCGATTTTGTGGATGTCCATTGATCAACATGTTCTTTACAACATGTTAAAAACTTATTTTATATTCCTTTTAAACATAATATTTAAGTGAATTCAGAGAGAATTTCTGTCGAATTACCACACGTGCTAAAATACAGCTGTTTTCTGTCACTGCCGAATACAGCAAAATATATGTGGCAGGTGTATTCCGACAACATTATTCAACCTCCGGATCATAATGAGTTCAGAAAAAAAATTCACCGAAATGTGTATATACATCAAATACATATATGTGATTGAAAATTATACTAATCATGCATTTATATCCTGACTAACGTTTTCGATCATGTCAACAAGATGTTTAAACTCTGTTCATCATAAACTAGTTTAAACATTTACGTAATGTTCTGTTAGGAAATGACGTCAGTCATTCTGTCTGTATATTCTTTGCTAGTGAAATCAAGAAGATTGCCATACAGGTACTAAATACTTTTCTATATCTAAGAAAAGTGATGTAACAAGTAGAATGAGTAAGAAATGTCCCTACGTATGTATCCATAAATAGAATTCTTATCTATAGCTATGGCGCTTTTGATAAGTAGTGACTGAAGATAAGACATACACGTTTTGTGAGTTCCGTTTGAACATGTCGGTATCGTCGATTTTGCTTCTGGCACTGTGCGTTCCTCTGGTGCTGTGGTAAGGTATTAATACTGGTGGATTATCGATGTATCTAGATTCTATCAACATTCGTAAACAAATGTTGTGAAATTACTTCTTTAAAACCAAAATAATCAAACTGTGAAAATTGAGAAATATGTTATTATTCGAAAGCTCTTGAAGTCATTGCTTGGAGATTTTCCTGTTATCAATTTGTCTTGCACACATTACATACATAATTTATTTTAATAATACCTTTTTGATTACATTGTATATATACATCTTAACAGGTATAATCGTTCATTTACCATCTGTCTGTTGGTAATTTAGTGGACCATTATTCAAAGATAGAACTGTCGTCCGGTGGCCAACTCATACCCCAGCTGGTAATAAAATGGTGTTTGATTTTGGAGACATGGAATAGACGTTCTACTCGAATAGAACCTCGATACTAAATCTGAACATGTCTGTACAAATATTCAGTAATGGAAAAAACTTTGGACATATATGGCCAACATGAAGCAAGTGTTCTTTAAATACAATGTAGTTCAACAGATTAACACAGAAGTTAAAGAAGGGTTCATATCATTAACTTTAATTAAATTAATATCCTTTTCACTCCAGCATAGAAAAAGCCAAAATTTAGAAGTTATTTATCAAAGTTACAGATGTCATCCTGGGGACAGATGGACAGACGAACAGATGGACAGACGGCTGATACCATTGTTTTACTGTAGTGACGTCATTATTATATAATCAAGGTTGCCATCATGTTTTTGTTTTATGTGAAAGCGCTAACAATCACGGTCACCATAACCATCATGTTGACTACACTCACTACATAGACGAGCTGTGGAATGAAGTCAACTACGACTTAGACACCCAGCACTTTAGCAGAGTAGAACTCCACGATTTTCTGGTGTTCGCCGACAGCAACAGTATGTATTTTTACACAGAAATCAACACATCGTTTGTTAACATGTAAAACAACAAGATTTACACAGAAAACAACACCATTTGTTAACATGTAAAACAACAGGATTTACACAGAAAACAACAGCCTGCTTACCAACGGGATGCAAGGAAGCATCCCATTCCACGAGAATTATTCTCTGGCTCTCCCTGTCTGGTCTCGCTAAAATCGTAGGGACACGAGTTCGACATTCTAGGGACACCCATTTCAGATAGCAACATCGCGGATATAGTAGTGGCAAGTGTGTAATATCTCATGAACGTTGAGTAAATCTGGGTCAGTTTTCAACTTGATAGACAATCTTTGTGAGCACACATTTATCTCTGTAGTCTACACAGAAATGAGATAAATGTCCTCATATTGTTACGAGGAAGAATGAAGACGAAAACATGAATTTGTAGGTACTATTGAGATAGAAAAAAACGGTTTTGATACATTTCATAAAAAAAAGAAATATTTTCTGGACATTTCTTGCAATTTCAATGCAAACTAAGACACCGTAATTGTGGGTATGCAAATGTCCTTACAATGTGGGTAATAAGTAGAAAATATGTCCCCATTACTACGGGTTTTCCAGACCCAACCCCGACACCCTCTTCCTTTCTCTATTTCTCTATATTTATCTATCTCTCATTCTTTACTGGGCCGATAAATCAAATTTTGTCCCCACTCTAAAGGTAGCATTTTCTGTATGTGATAAATTAACACACAGAGTAGAGAGCCTAATATTTCATTCCTTAACATGAATTTTAGGATCCCGAAGGTGAGGTGGTTCTAGTTTGCATAGAGGGGTGACCTACAATGTCACACCGCACCATCAGCAGCGTCTATATAGGTTTTCTTTAGTTCATCGGCATTCAGTAAAAAAATACCTTAGATCTATATATCTCATAATGGGGGGTGGGGATATGAGAAAATGCCAATATTGGGACTTCTCCTCTGTTGAATGATGAGTGTCAATGCATTTCCAATTCTTTTATTTATTCATTTTTAAGGTCTATGGGTCATATGACATAAAGCCATTGTGCTTCTTCCGTCGTCGTCCGCCGTGCGTAACCTTCGGACATTTTAAACTTCTAAAGTTCCACCACTGGGATTAAACTTGCATGAAATAATCGTGAGACGTTCCTGACCAAGTGTTGTTATCGTTCGGGTATGTCAAAAATCCAAGATGGCCGCCATTTTGAATAATATATTTCTAACTTATTCTCCAGTTCCAACAGTGATAAAGATTGATAGAAATGTGAAGGAAACATAGCCAACAAAGCGTTGTTCTTTTTCGACCTGCCAAAACGGCAGCCAGGGAGGCCATTTTGTAACATGACGGCGCAATTACGGTTTTCATGTGCAACACCTATTTCAAACTTCTACAGTTTCACCAGTGGGATTTAACTCCAATTTTACTGGCAAAAAATCGGTAAACACTTATTAAAGTTACCTACTTCTCACCAAAACTACCATCTGCATCATGAAAACATCTTGGTAAAATTTCATTCAAAGCCACAAAATTAGCATTTAAACATTCAGTTTCAAATGAAATTGCATTTGGCTTTGCCTGTTGTGCTGTCGTATCCAAACGACAACTCTTCGGTGTGGTGACGTCATGGTATCCAAGCAACACTAAACATATTCAGCTGTAGACAGTCTTCATGTGCACGACGTACAATCACGGTGGACAATCTGTTATGTACATCACGGTGGACAATCTGTTATGTACAATCACGGTGGGCAATCTGTTATGTAAATCACGGTGGACAATCTGTTATGTAAATCACGCTGGACAATCTGTTATGTAAATCACCAACATTGCTCGATCTTCGTTGTGATTGGTCTTTTGGAGTGTACCATTTTCACAACGATGTTGTAAACAAAATTTTCAATATTTCATAGTAAGTTTTGTCTAATAAGAAGCTGAGCGTTAATCCTTTATTTTATGGTATATATACACAGGGACGTAGATAACGTGATATACGTCCCTGATATACACGAGGTCTGTAATGGTGTAGTAATGTTATCAGCAAGCAGGATGATGGTCTATGGCTTAGTCTTTTTTCATTATTGTCTCCCATGAAACTTGATCGCGGGAAAGATTATGAATTGGGGTGCGTTCGTTCGAGTGTTCATTAAATGGGCTATTCTGAGCCACAGTTTGGAAACAAACAGATCTGAACAAAACCCTGTATATCACTACTACCCTACTTATGCCTGCATTTCTAGGGGTTAATTCTTACATATTTCCTCTGTTACCATGGAACTAAACGGTCCGCAATACGAAATTTATTGTTTGAAAGATTTGCCGGGCTGCACCTCGAAACTGGTCTACAAAACTTCGTAAAACTTATATTATGCATGTGTCTTTATTGTACTATTTGATATTTGTCAGATTTCATTTTTTACAAATAGTCAAAAATACACAAATTCACACTGTTAGCAAGCTTTTCCGGGCTGCTCCTCGAAATTTTATAACTGATACCTATACATGTTGAGCATCAACAGGTAAAAACACAGAAAATCTACATCAACTATTAACCCTTATAATATAAGGTAATATGTGTACCTGTTAATTATGTGTACCTGTCACCTTTTAACCCTTATACATTAAGGTAATATGTGTACCTGTTAATTATGCGTACCTGTCACCTTTTAACCCTTATACTTTAAGGTTATATGTGTACCTGTATAACCCTGCCACACTTTACAGCTCCTTCCTTTTCTATATGTTTGTATGAGGTGATTGTTGTATTGGCTGTTGAATTCATTTAGTGTCCTTAATACCAATAAAGTTTTGCTCAATATAAATTATGACCTATGCAGAGGATGGAACTATTACTCGACATGAATATGTTACGGCCGCCACAAAGGATGCGCATGACCTAACCGATTTCACCAATGGTTTGTTTAACACCTTCGACGCTAATGGAGACCACCATCTGACTTTGTCTGATACTACGGCTCTCTATAACAGGATGGACGCTGACGGTAAAACTATATCAAACAACATTTTTTGTATAGTTATATAGAAAGTCTATTTTTGGTATTTCTATAAGTAAGAAAACAGATCACCAAACATGGCCATGCACAGCGAAGAATGGCTATCTTTATAGAACACAGATTTATGAATATTTTTATATGTATTGTTTTGTTATAGTTACACTTGCAGGTTTACTTTGATTGGATACAAAGTACCTAGTACACAATGTATCTAGGAATATGGTCTTCCAATAGACTTAATATTAGCTCAGTTTCTCAAAAGTTTTATCGTATGCTAACTTATCATATTTTCAGCCTTTAATAAAACTAGTTTGAAACAGAGGTCATTATTTATTTCAATGACTCTGCTAGGATTTGAAAGAGGGACCTCTGGCTTACTAACCTGACACTCAACCAATCAAACCAAAAAGCTCTCTCTAGCCGAGTGGTATATTGTGGCTAGTATTTTACCATACATACCATACCAATATGAAACTGAGATGATTATTTACTTCCATGCCTCTGCTAACTTTTGAATCCCAATTATCTGGCTTACTATCCTGACACTCAACCAATCACGCTAAAGAAAAGTTCTGTCTAGTTGAGAGTATATTGTATCTACAAGGGATACATATATCATGAAAGGATCACCAAATAAAAAATGGAAAGCAAATAATTTCTCTACAAAAAAAAAAAAAACTTTTTCATAAAAAATACACACAATTTTGAAAGTTTATATATCAACCTGCATGAAAAAGTTAAATTCAAAGTTGATGTACTTTTCAGGAGATGCATTAATAACGAAACCAGAATTCTATAGCTTTTGGACAGCAGTAAGTATCCTCAACATGTGGACCATTATTATGTTGTAATTTAATTGTGGTACCTATACTACATAAACCTTAAATTCACATATTTTCATTTTGTTACTGAAGACATTTGGTATTTCTGACCAAGAAATTATAACTTTAAGTCAATTCAAAATCCTTAAGCTGTTTCACCTCTTTTGGTGGTGAAGCGTGACAACCATGATAACCTGTCATTCCAGTATTAACCATTTTTTTGTGTGGGAAATTTGACTCATTTCACTCCTTTGATAACTAATTGTTGATAAATCTCTTTATTCTCAACTGATCTGATGGACATAATGTATTGTTTACCTGTAAGGCTTGATCAATTATATCAACCATAAATGCCATAAGACAATTCTTCAACATGAAGAAGCTATTCAACAAAAATAGTTAAATCTGCCAGGTTCATTTCTTTTATTGTTATCAAATTAGGTAATGTCAGAAGTACATGAGCAAGAATGAGATAAAAATGATTTCTTTTGAACTGTTTGTTCATATATTTTTTTTCCTTTATAGGTATTGACATCGCTTGCCCACACTCACGGCCATGGACACCTGCTTGGTTAATTTAATGTTTTATACAATTAAACTGTGCAAACTGAAAAAAATGTTTATTTTTTCTTTACACATTATCTCCCTTAATCAGGATGTAGACACAAATTTCTAAATATTTATGTAAACATAGATGTGAAACTTGAAGATTTGAATTTGATGATGGTGGGATGGGATTACAAATTACCTTGAAATGTCTTGTGTATAGAAACATTTGTTGCTTCCATGACTATAGACCAATCACCACTTGTTGGGATTTGGTGACTGAACTAAGGTTAATGTTTTAACAAAGTACCACAACTTTTTCTATGAAAATAGATAAGAGGATTACAGGATGTCTTGAGGTAAACTGGATTATAATTTCAACTCCATTAACCATTTTGATAAAAAAAATAGCACTTGAAGGCTTTCTACATTGAGAATATTATGCAGATGAACTTATCTGTATAACATAATTTAACAAGTAAAACTTCAGTGACTAATCGTAACAATTTTAAACTTTTATCATGTCAGAAAACAAAATGTAAAGAAAAATAAAACAAACATGAGTTAAAAAGATTTGCACCTATGTCCAATATTCTGCAATCTCTGCCCAAAGTATGGAGAAGGAACTAACAATCATTATTTACACCAGAATTCCCAAACAAATACTCTATACTCACATAATCAAGAATCCATTCATCTATCAAACCTTTGACTTTCATTTCACTCCTTCACCTCCCTCCAATCCTTCTTCGTCAGAAGGGACCATGTCCTTTTCTCATATTAAGTTGTATTTCATGGTCGTAGAATGATATCAAAATCCCTCATCAATACTTGAACAGTAGTATTTCATAGATTTACAAGACAAGGTAATTTGTTTATCAGAATCAATTTTTACTAAGTCTTGAATGTCATTAGAATATCTTTACCAAATGAATTAATTCACTGTGTATATAATGATGCAGCAAAAACGATGTCCCTTTTGATCATGAAGGAGGCCTCGTCCATTTTCTGATAGAGGACAGGGTCTCCGATGATTCTAGCTGCATTCCTCACATCTCTCAGTGTCTCATGTAGGCGCTGAATACATCTCACAATAATACCTTCTTGGACGTCCGTCAAGTTTGTTATTTCTGCAAATGGCTGAAAGAATATCATATTAAAGGAAACTAAAAACAATACTTGATCATTTTCTTTCCTACACAAAAAAGAATGTAGTAATATTTAAAGCATTCATAAACTGGTAGCATAATGTTGCAGGGGGAATAACCAAAATTCATGATCACCAAGCTAAAACTGCAGGGGAGATAACAAAAAACCATGATCACCAAGTAATTGTTGGAGGAGAGACAACCAAAACCTATGATCACTTAGCTATTGTTGGACGAGAGATAACAAAAAACCATGATCACTTGGCTATTGTTGGAGGAGAGATAACAAAAAACCATGATCACTTAGCTATTGTTGGAGGAGAGATAACAAAAAACCATGATCACTTAGCTACTGTTGGAGGGGAGATAACCAAAAACCATGATCATGTAGCTATTGTTGGAGGGGAGATAAATAAAAACCATGATCACTTAGTTATTGTTGGAGGGGAGATAACCAAAAACCAAGACCACTTAGTTATTGTTGGAGGGGAGATAACCATAAACCATGATCACTTAGCTATTGTTGGATGGGAGATAACTAAAAACCATGATCACATAGTTATTGTTGGAGGGGAGATAACCAAAAACCATGATCACTTAGCTATTGTTGGAGGGGAGATAACCAAAAACCATGATCACTTGGACATAGTTGGAAGAGGGTTATGAAAAACCTCCAGGTTTGAGCCATAGTTCAGGCATTAAAAAATCCTGAATCCAGTTATACTACACTTTTGTACTATGCCTCTTACCAAAGAAGTCAAACACAAGCTCCATCGCTCATGCCTCTTGTCTACACAACCTCCATTGCTTACCATGCTCTCGCCCACTCAAACACACCCTCCATTGCTTACCATGCCTCTCCCCCACTCAAACACACTCTCCATTACTTACCATGCCTCTCCTCCTCTGTAACTCACCCTGCCTTTTGCCCACTCAAACACAACCTTAATTACTTACTGTGTCTCTCGCCCACACAAACACAACCTTAGTTACTTATTGTGCCTGTCATCCTCTCTAACACAGCCTTCATTACTTATGATTCCTCTCATCCTGTGCAACACACCCTGCATTACTTACCATATCTCTCATCCTATCTAGCACACCCTCCATTACTTACCATGCCTCTCCCCTACACAAACACAACCCCCATTACATTCCATGCCTCTCGCCCACACAAACACAACCTTAATTACTTACCATGCCTCTCGCCCACTCAAACACAACCTTAATTACTTATTGTGCCTCTCATCCTCTCTAACACAGCCTTCATTACTTATGATTTCTCTCATCCTGTGCAACACACCCTCCATTACTTACCATATCTCTCATCCTATCTAACACACCCTCCATTACCTACCATGCCTCTCCCCTACACAAACACAACCCCCATTACTTTCCATGCCTCTCGCCCACACAAACACAACCTTAATTACTTACTGTGCCTCACGCCCACACAAACACAACATTAGTTACTTACTGTGCCTCTCATCCTCTCTAACACAGCCTTCATTATTTATGATTCTTCTCATCCTCTGCAACACACCCTCCATTACTTACCATGCCTCTCGCCCACTCAAACACACCCTCCATTACTTACCATGCCTCTCATCCTCTGCAACACACCCTCCATTACTTACCATGCCTCTCGCCCACTCAAACACACCCTCCATTACTTACCATGCCTCTCATCCTCTCTAACACACCCTCCATTACTTACCATGCCTCTCATCCTCTCTAACACACCCTCCATTACTTACCATGCCTCTCATCCTCTCTAACACACCCTCCATTACTTACCATGCCTCTCGCCCACTCAAACACAACCTCCATAAGTCCAAACTTGAATGCTTCCTTGTATTCTGCTGCTAATAGCATCCCCATCTGTTTCTGTAGGACAGTGATCCTGTCAGCTATCTCCAATATACGCTCCTTGCCCTGCCCAAAGAATAATATAAAATAAATGTGTTGTTGAGTTACAGTAAAAACTCTCAAATGACTCCAGATTTTCTCATCCATATTTATGTAAAGTGAGGTCATTACTTAAAAATAAACAATATCTAACTTACCATCTTGATGATGCTGGTTATCAGAATAAACAGCTTTAGATTTTCTTATATCGATGTTTTTATCTGGATATAAGCCAGCTCGTATCCATTAAAAACTAATGCTTTACTTTACGTCAGGGGCGTAAGGTACTACAATAAGTCGAACCCCTTGACTTTGAGTCAGAGGTAAAGTCTTGGCCCCTGAGGTCCTGCAATAAGCCCAGAAAACCAACCCCCCTCCCCCGACTTTGAGTCAAAGGTAATGTCTTGGCTTACTGCAATATAAATATAAGAATGACAAGACTTTTCAAATTAATAAGTAGACAAATCATGCATGTGGCTAAGACATGTTCACTAAAGTAAAGGAAGACATGAATTATCTCACCTTTTCTAGAGTGTCAATTATGTTAGGCTCACTGGCTTTCTTTTGTTCAAACACAACTGAGGATAATAAGGCTGCTATCTCAGTGGGGTGGAGTTCTGTGAGAGCGTTCTCAAATACAAGTTCAGTAATCATAAGTTCGTGGCTGCTGATCTCGCACGCCACCCGTCCCTTCAACTGCACTGTGTTGTTGGCATCAATGTAATTCAGAGCTCTCAGAACCTACAATATAATACCATTAACATTGATATTTTTATGGTTTAAACAATCTCTGTTAACCATATAATTTTTCAATATTGAAAATGACTAATCAACTTACCTCAATTCTTTGCTGGTACTCCGGCAGAAGCTGAAGACTTTCATCAGACAACAGAAATTTGAGTCGTATATATTCATCCTTCAATCTCATATTACTGCTTAGCTGACTAAACTGTAATAATAAAATATATTTCATTACAGGTTATAACATGTACCTGTTATGCAATTATGTATATGCCACTTGCTTGAATAAACCCAAGCTCAGATTGGCCTTCCACAGTTTCACAGCAATACTTATCTGTGTTTACTACAGAGTTCCTATGAAAAGGTTTTTACATGATTTACAAGTCTTATCTGTAATGATTCACCATTTCTAAACTTTGATAAACATGATAATGCCAAAATGTTTAGAATCTATTTCAATTTGTCAAGTTTTACCATATACCTGTACTGGTATGAGAAACAAAATTTCTTCAATGTTAAGAGTTTACTAATTAGAATGATCAGAAACAGCATTGTGATATATCACAACAGAATAAATAGAGTTGTGTATGATCAGACCACTGTACCTACACTGACTGACAGTTGGACATTACCTTCAAGGCAAGATAACATATATTACATTAACCATGTAGGAGCTTTCAGCTACTGGTAGACAGAATTAAGTTATATATTTTTGCAGCTTACATGTTCCTGAAATCTAGGACAGTTGACACACTGGAATGTCTTCAGGCTTCCTTCCAGGAGGGAAAATGCTCTAAACTTTTCCACCATATCTATATCACGAAGATGAAGGTCTTTCACTGGATCAAGGCCAGGCAATCCCTGTGGATTTCCCTCTGTTAATCTTAACAACTCTTGTGTTGCTATGGATACTGCCTGACTTGGAGGATCATCTCTACCAAAAATAAATACATATATATAAAACAGATTTCATTTAAATCTGAAACAACAAAGAGTACTGAATCTGATCTTACATACATGCTTCAATATGAATAATACACAGAAACTTGATTCTCGAGCTAGTGATCTGTTTTCTTCTTAAGATTTCACTATTAATATGTGGTATGTCACTAAAATAGGGTTTTGATAATTATGCTAATGTAAATATTATTGGATTTCATAGAATACTTTATACAGAACCCCTGCATCTCTGGTGAACCAAGCATATGACTAGTATACTATATGAGCACTGCGGACATCAAAGCCTTGACATTTCCAATACCCAACTGAACAATACAATAACCACTAGAACTAGAGGACTAGAGTGAAAGGATCTATAAATAGAGAAATCGGCCAGCAACAGCAGTTCCCTATTTCAAAGCACTACAGAAACTGTATTTCATAATGTTACATCTTTGAGAGTTTGAAAGGAAATCTACGGACACTAACGTCCTTGTTGTCTTTGGTCGTTGATCAGATCATAAAGGAATCAAAGATGGATACCCAACATTATTCATTATTTTACAAAGTGTTTTAAAACCTGTAGAGATATACACCATATTTATCAACCTTGCCTGCCTATACTAATATTACTTTATATTCTCTTCAATTAACTTTTAATCAATAAAATCTACTAATATGTAACAACACTGTTCCAGATAATGAACCAAATCATACTTAAATCGTGGTTGCTGCCTCTTGCGAACATCATTGATAATTCTATCCACCTCCACTCGTATTGTCTTTGTTGTGACCACACTGATATCCTCTGCCTTCAGGGGTACCAGCTGATGACAACACTTACCCTCAGGCCTAAACAGGGTATTGCTTAATACAGGTGTCACTTGACCAATTGTATCAGCAGATTTTGTCTGTCTTTCACCTTTTGCACATTTTTCATCACAAATGACAAGACAGTTGAAGACTCGGTCACTACTAGAGGATACATTAGTCTGTAACACTACACCGAGAACATTATTATGACTAGCATTGTCAACAGTCACCACTCGCCCTGCACTCAGTAACTTGATCGCTGTTGGATGTGACAGGACAACAGTCTGTAAATGAAGTTAAAAAAAGGCATATCACTGTCAGACAACACCTACATCTCTACTGAAATCATAACTAGGCATATCCAGTCACTGTCAGACATCACCTACATCTATACTCAAATCATAACCAGGCATATCAGGTCACTGTCAGACAACACCTACATCTATACTCAAATCATAACCAAGCATATCAGGTCACTGTCAGACACTACCTACATCTATACTCAAATCATAACCAAGGATATCAGGTCACTGTCAAACATCACCTACATCTATACTCAAATCATAACCAGGCATATCAAGTCACTGTTGGACATCACCTACATCTATACTCAAATCATAACCAGGGATATCAGGTCACTGTTAGACATCACCTACATCTATACTCAAATCATAACCAGGGATATCAGGTCACTGTCAGACAACACCTACATCTATACTCAAATCATAACCAGGCATATCAGGTCACTGTTGGACATCACCTACATCTATACTCAAATCATAAACAGGCATATCAGGTCACTGTTGGACATCACCTACATCTATACTCAAATCATAACCAAGCATATCAGGTCAGTGTCAGACATCACCTACATCTATACACAAATCATAACCAGGCATATCAGGTCACTGTTGGACATCAACTACATCTATACTCAAATCATAACCAGGGATATCTAGTCACTGTCAGACATCACCTACATCTATACTCAAATCATAACCAAGCATATCAGGTCACTGTCAGACAACACCTACATCTATACTCAAATCATAACCAAGCATATCAGGTCACTGTCAGACACTACCTACATCTATACTCAAATCATAACCAAGTATATCAGGTCAGTGTCAGACAACACCTACATCTATACTCAAATCATAACCAGGCATATCAGGTCACTGTCAGACAACACCTACATCTATACTCAAATCATAACCAGGGATATCTGGTCACTGTCAGACATCACCTACATCTATACTCAAATCATAACCAGGGATATCAGGTCACTGTTGGACATCACCTACATCTATACTCAAATCATAACCAAGCATATCAGGTCACTGTTGGACACTACCTACATCTATACTCAAATCATAACCAAGTATATCAGGTCAGTGTCAGACAACACCTACATCTATACTCAAATCATAACCAGGCATATCAGGTCACTGTTGGACATCAACTACATCTATACTCAAATCATAACCAGGGATATCAGGTCACTGTTGGACATCACCTACATCTATACTCAAATCATAACCAAGCATATCAGGTCACTGTTGGACATCACCTACATCTATACTCAAATCATAACCAAGCATATCAGGTCACTGTTGGACATCACCTACATCTATACTCAAATCATAACCAGGGATATCTAGTCACTGTCAGACATCACCTACATCTTTACTCAAATCATAACCAGGCATATCAGGTCACTGTTGGACATCACCTACATCTATACTCAAATCATAACCAGGGATATCAGGTCACTGTCAGACACTACCTACATCTATACTCAAATCATAACCAGGCATATCAGGTCACTGTCAGACATCACCTACATCTATACTCAAATCATAACCAGGCATATCCAGTCACTGTCAGACTTCAATTACATCTATACTCAAATCATAACCGGCATATCAAGTCACTGTCAGACTTCAATTACATCTATACTCAAATCATAACCAGGCATATCAGGTCACTGTTGGACATCACCTACATCTATACTCAAATCATAACCAGGCATATCAAGTCACTGTCAGACTTCAATTACATCTATACTCAAATCATAACCAGGGATATCAGGTCACTGTTGGACATCACCTACATCTATACTCAAATCATAACCAAGCATATCAGGTCACTGTTGGACATCACCTACATCTATACTCAAATCATAACCAAGCATATCAGGTCACTGTTGGACATCACCTACATCTATACTCAAATCATAACCTTGCATATCAGGTCAGAGTAAGACATCACGGACGTCTATACTCAAATCATAACCAGGCATATCAGGTCACTGTTGGACATCACCTACATCTATACTCAAATCATAACCAGGGATATCAGGTCACTGTCAGACACTACCTACATCTATACTCAAATCATAACCAGGCATATCAGGTCACTGTCAGACATCACCTACATCTATACTCAAATCATAACCAGGCATATCAGTCACTGTAGACATCATCTATACTCAAATCATACATATCTACTCAAATCATAACCCAGGCATATCAGGTCACTTCAATTACATCTATACTCAAATCATAACCAGGCATATCAGGTCACTGTTGGACATCACCTACATCTATACTCAAATCATAACCAGGCATATCAGGTCACTGTCAGACACTACCTACATCTATACTCAAATCATAACCAGGCATATCAGGTCACTGTTGGACATCACCTACATCTATACTCAAATCATAACAAGGCATATCAGGTCACTGTTGGACATCACCTACATCTATACTCAAATCATAACCTGGCATATCAGGTCACTGTCAGACATCACCTACATCTATACTCAAATCATAACCAGGCATATCAGGTCACTGTTGGACATCACCTACATCTATACTCAAATCATAACCAGGCATATCAGGTCACTGTTGGACATCACCTACATCTATACTCAAATCATAACCTGGCATATCAGGTCACTGTCAGACATCACCACCTATCTATACTCAAATCATAACCAGGCATATCAGGTCACTGTCAGACATCACCTACATCTATACTCAAATCATAACCAAATCATAACCAAGGCATATCAGGTCACTGTCATCACCTACATCTATACTCAAATCATAACCAGGCATATCACTGGTCACCTACATCTATACTCAAATGGCATATCAGGTCACTGTCAGACACACCTACATCTATACTCAAATCATAACCAGGCATATCATCTATACCAGGCATATCAAACTACAAACTCATAACCAGGCATATCAGGTCACTGTTGGACATCACCTACATCTATACTCAAATCATAACCAGGCATATCAGGTCACTGATGGACATCACCTACATCTATACTCAAATCATAACCTGGCATATCAGGTCACTGTCAGACATCACCTACATCTATACTCAAATCATAACCAGGCATATCAGGTCACTGTTGGACATCACCTACATCTATACTCAAATCATAACCAGGCATATCAGGTCACTGATGGACATCACCTACATCTATACTCAAATCATAACCAGGCATATCAGGTCACTGTTGGACATCACCTACATCTATACTCAAATCATAACCTGGCATATCAGGTCACTGTCAGACATCACCTACATCTATACTCAAATCATAACCAGGCATATCAGGTCACTGTTGGACTTCACTTACATCTATACTCAAATCATAACCAAGCATATCAGGTCACTGTTGGACATCACCTACATCTATACTCAAATCATAACCAAGCATATCAGGTCAGTGTCAGACATCACCTACATCTATACTCAAATCATAACCAGGCATATCAGGTCACTGTTGGACATCACCTACATCTATACTCAAATCATAACAGGGATATCAGGTCACTTTGGACATCACCTACATCTATACTCAAATCATAACCAGGCATATCAGGTCACTGTCAGACATCACCTACATCTATACTCAAATCATAACCAGGCATATCAGGTCACTGTCAGACATCACCTACATCTATACTCAAATCATAACCAGGCATATCAGGTCACTGTTGGACATCACCTACATCTATACTCAAATCATAACCAGGCATATCAGGTCACTGTTGGACATCACCTACATCTATACTCAAATCATAACCAGGGATATCTAGTCACTTTCAGACATCACCTACATCTATACTCAAATCATAACCAAGCATATCAGGTCACTGTTGGACATCACCTACATCTATACTCAAATCATAACCAAGCATATCAGGTCACTGTTGGACATCACTTACATCTATACTCAAATCATAACCAGGGATATCTAGTCACTGTCAGACATCACCTACATCTTTACTCAAATCATAACCAGGCATATCAGGTCACTGTTGGACATCACCTACATCTATACTCAAATCATAACCAAGCATATCAGGTCACTGTCAGACATCACCTACATCTATACTCAAATCATAACCAGGCATATCAGGTCACTGTTGGACATCACCTACATCTATACTCAAATCATAACCAGGCATATCAGGTTACTGTTGGACATCACCTACATCTATACTCAAATCATAACCTGGCATATCAGGTCACTGTCAGACATCACCTACATCTATACTCAAATCATAACCAGGCATATCAGGTCACTGTTGGACATCACCTACATCTATACTCAAATCATAACCAGGCATATCAGGTCACTGTCAGACATCACCTACATCTATACTCAAATCATAACCAGGCATATCAGGTCACTGTCAGACACTACCTACACCTATACTCAAATCATAACCAGGCATATCAGGTCACAGTCAGACATCACCTACATCTATACTCAAATCATAACCAGGCATATCCAGTCACTGTCAGACTTCAATTACATCTATACTCAAATCATAACCAGGCATATCAGGTCACTGTCAGACTTCAATTACATCTATACTCAAATCATAACCAGGCATATCAAGTCACTGTCAGACTTCAATTACATCTATACTCAAATCATAACCAGGCATATCAGGTCACTGTTGGACATCACCTACATCTATACTCAAATCATAACCAGGCATATCAGGTCACTGTCAGACAATACCTACACCTATACTCAAATCATAACCAGGCATATCAGGTCACTGTTGGACATCACCTACATCTATACTCAAATCATAACCAGGGATATCAGGTCACTGTCAGACACTACCTACATCTATACTCAAATCATAACCAGGCATATCAGGTCACTGTCAGACATCACCTACATCTATACTCAAATCATAACCAGGCATATCCAGTCACTGTCAGACTTCAATTACATCTATACTCAAATCATAACCAGGCATATCAAGTCACTGTCAGACTTCAATTACATCTATACTCAAATCATAACCAGGCATATCAGGTCACTGTCAGACATCACCTACATCTATACTCAAATCATAACCAGGCATATCAGGTCACTGTCAGACAATACCTACACCTATACTCAAATCATAACCAGGCATATCAGGTCACTGTTGGACATCACCTACATCTATACTCAAATCATAACCAGGGATATCAGGTCACTGTCAGACACTACCTACATCTATACTCAAATCATAACCAGGCATATCAGGTCACTGTCAGACATCACCTACATCTATACTCAAATCATAACCAGGCATATCAGGTCACTGTCAGACAATACCTACATCTATACTCAAATCATAACCAGGCATACCAGGTCACTGTCACACACTTACTATATATGTAATATATATATCATTTTATACTCAGATCTGCTCAAAAGAGATTACTTAATACAGTAATCCTATTTTATATGAACCAGCCACTTTCTTTACTCTGTGCAATATAACATTTACCATAGTACGGTAATGTTATTGCATACAAGGTATCTAGATAAAATCATATGGCATTTATTGCCCAGTGAATGACATGGTTAAATAGCTGAAGTCTGTATAATTATCTGTTGTAATAAAGACACTATTTGATACTACTGTGACTTAACAAATGGTGGATGTTCCATTATTCAAACACAATTGATAAACACATTGGTTTGAAATTAATGGTGAAATTCATTAATATTCAATATCATCCTATTTTGTGCTAGTTCTCTTATCAGTTGCAAATAAACGGACACTAGACAAAGCTTCAGTATGTTTTTTTAAATGAAATTATTGAGATGTACTCATACCTGTAATTGTTTCTTGGATGCGTGATATTCCTTACAGCTCTCATAATACTTCTCCAGATCTACAGAACACAGGAAACATTCAATATTTGTGATTTTAGCCACCTCAGAGTGGAGTTCTTCAAGTGCCTTCTTATGTTTGACAGTGTCCTTTTGTGAGTGGAATTCCGAGAAGCTGCGTTTGATCATGTCTTCTACTCGAAGCTGCTCAACTCGTAACAAGTTGAGGATCATGGAATAGGTCAGACGGAACTGGGATTCTAATTTGGTTGGCTTCCCCTAGTTAGGGAAAATATGAAAAGTAGTTCTATCACAATCTGTTTACCTTTTGAGTTACTTAATGATTTTTCAGAATTTTCAAATTCTTATTACAGGTGAAAATTAAATGTACACAAAAATAATGGCAATAGTTTTAAAGGTACAGTTCAGTTTTAGATAAGATGTCATCGCAGAAAAATCATGTACGTGATGTATAGTTCAACAGTTGGAAGTCTAATGAGGGAAAAAACTCACCAGCATCATCCTATGAAGATCAGACATTTCTGGGACATCCCCTTTACAGAGAATTATCACTGTCCCTGTTGTATCCAAGCCTCGACGTCCTGCTCTCCCTGCCATTTGGATGTACTCACCGGGCAAAAGGTCACGAAATGCTGTCCCATCATGCTTTCTGATTGAGTCAAACACCACAGTACGGGCTGGCATGTTTACACCCATGGCAAATGTCTCCGTAGCAAATAAGATCTGTGAATTAACATTAATATTTTACTTCCTGGGTAATTCATCTTTTCACTCCAAATATTATTTACAGCTACTCTTTTAACAAACTGTTGACAGTATGCAAACTGTATTCTCATTGTCACATCTGAAAAGTGTACAAATATCATTTGATAAATTATTGAGAACCGATCGAAGCATTTTCAAAAGTCAATCATAAACAGAGGAATTGGTGAAATATACCTTTACTAGTGCTCGCTGGAAGAGCATCTCTACCACCTCCTTAAGGATGGGAAGTATCCCACTGTGGTGCATACCCAGACCACGCTTCAGGTGGTCCTCCATTTGCATCACCTAGACAGAAAACTGGAACGTCACCTAAACATCATGTTACACTTGACTGACCACATGCATACTTATATCCTTGATGTGTATCACATACACACAGGAAAATCATTTAATACATTTACCTTTCCTACAAACATATGCAAAAACATAAGTTATAATCATCCAAAATAGGTTTTAAACAAGCGTATTTAATAATTACAAACTTATACATCTTAACTGACATTTTTCTAGATTTGATTATCATTTTGAAAAAAATTCAAATGTTTCCTGATCTTTCATTTTGCCAGTCAACACAGCAACAACAATCTGGAAGTCTAATATCATTGCTTAACATACCATTCGTGAGAAGAGTTGCCAGATTATCTCAATACATTTATACTAAAAATGTGATACCTTGATTTTAAACAAAACAATTAGTCCTTTACTCCAAACATCTACATCCTCAAGACATATCATAGTCTAGAAGTTCTTAATGCAAAACCAAAAATACGTTTAAAAATATTTATATTTTGCTAGCATCTACATATCATTCAGAGGAAATTATGGCTTTCTACAATAGATGTGTGTGTCATACCTGTGGCAGCTTCTTATCTGGATCCTTTAACCGTGTGATAGACTTGTGGAAAAAAATGTGGATCTCACTTTTCTCCTTCTGGGTAGTGAGATCAAGACTGTGAAGATTGTTCACATTATCCTCAATCTTTTTCTTGGAAAATGTGAAGGCAACAACTGGTAGCTTATCTTTCTTCTTTAACATGTCAATCACCGAGATCCAAATATTCTTATCCTGGTTAAAAAAAAAATCAAATATCATAAAAACAAGCGAATATTTTCAATTATCATTCTAATGAAATGAATGTCTTCAATTATGACTGTTCACTAGCTAATAATATACCAGGTGAATCTTCCCCAAAACATTATAATAATTCAAAATTAACTTATTTATTTTATAACAATTGCAAAACAGATTTTTCCAACTTATATTTATCACTTTAGTTGGCTTGGATATACATGTATGGTATACATGGAAAAGGTAGATCACGTTGAATGAAAAAAAAAATTTTTTAAAAAGTAGGTCACCTGGTTAGGATGAGCACCTCTCGTTCCTTTGGCTCCAAAATTTTGTGAACTTTTGCTTGCCCTTTCCTTTTTAGCTTCTAAGGCTTTGCTATATCTGTCAAAACACAAGAACCATTAAATTAAATTTGCTATAGAAATCAATAAAAGATTCACTCATTAATCATACACAAGATCCAAGAAAGATATTGACACCTACCATTGTTCAATCTTTTCCTTTCTTGTCACTCCTTTTCCTTTTATTGATCTTGGTATGTTAAATTTGAAAATTCCTCAAAGAAATATTGGTTATTAATTTTTACTGTCAAATTCTGAAGATGGTCGCTTGCCAATCAACTATTTTTCTTTTTGGGCACTCCCAAAATCCAAAGCGTACAACAAGCGACTGAGGGTATGAGGGTAACCTACATATAAAATTTGAGAAAGATCCATTTCACAGGAAACAGCAGTAAAAATTCAATGTCAAAGTCTAAGATGGCTGCAGTCAGGTATTTTGTTTTTATGATCAATCTCGTAAACAAAAGAGTAAAACTATGGACAATCAAGAACCATCAAATAAAATTTAAGAACGGTTCATTCAGTACTTCTCAAGAAATATTGATAAAAATCTTTCATTGTTAAATCAAAGATTGCTGTCCTTCACCCATTTTGTTTCTTTACTATCAGTCTCAAAATCAAAAGGGCACAACTAGTGATCAAAGGAAGATGAGTTGAAGAAATAGTGATAACCAGAATTGTACAACAACTGACGATGGACCACTGAGGCAGTGCGATTAGAACAGCCCACCATTCACTGATGGTTGGCTAAAAACACCAGTAACATCATGTAATTATGTGGATATACTTGTATTTCAACAAGTCAAAATTTGAAATAAAGTAAAATGTTAAAAAAAATCTACACATAATCAAAAAGATAGATGCCAATGCCAGGTATTTCGGTATAAAATCATACATACCCATTTGTAAGAAAGGTTTTTTTGTGGTCCACCAGTAGGAAGAGCTGGTCACTGGTTTTACCACTGTTACCAGTGTACAGAAAATGTTCTAAGGGGACAGGACGCTTAAGGGTACTGATTACATAAATCTTCTTCCTCTTTGTTCTCCTGGAGGCAACATAAATAATTACATATACACAACATATCCATCAGGAATCAGTACCCAGAATTTTACAAGCTTATCATTTTTATCCAGTAATAAGGTTATGCTTGGTGTTTAGCCCACCTATATATAAGTTGCTGTTATCAAAAATTTCAGTATTTTTTGTAGGACTTTTCAAGTTAAATCCAGAACACTATTTCCAGAAGTTTGATTAGTCCCAATACTAAGAGCTATGTTGGGGTCTCAAGAGTTTTGTGAGTCCCATAAGTCCAGGACTCAAAATATCTGAGCCCTTAAAATCACTGATATAACAAAGGGTATATCTTTGTAACGAAGCTCACTGCTGTTTGTTGAGTTATAGGTTAAGAGTTGTATTTTGCTAGGTTAATATGGTTAAACTAAACTTTGAACTTTTCCTTATTCTCATTTCAGTTTACACAAAATCCACATATAGGCATCAATCAAAAATTTGAGAAACACTTGTGATTTACAAGATCATTTTCTGAGTTGTTATTTTACCCTATCCAGTCTGCAAACTCTATGGTGTTGGGAACTGTAGCACTCAGAAGAATGATGTTGACATGTTTTGGAAGCATAATAAGGACTTCTTCCCAGACAACACCTCGCTGTAACCAAGTTAACATCAATTTATGGACATGTACAATCAATTACGCCAAAATCCTTATTGTTGATTGCAAATTCTATATAAATTTTTTACAAAATCTTTGATAGCATTATCTTCTTTCTCACTTCAAAAATGTCTGAAGCAAATATTTTTCTCTTTCCTTAGATTTAATAGAAGTCCTTTTGAAGGTGTATGATACATGTAAATAAAAAAAAAATACACAACAAATAACAATGAATAATTTACAGAGAGGATTCAAGACTTATGCTGGTTTAGGGCTAAATATTTTAAAGTGTGTTGGAAGAACAAATACAAGACATAGTGAGATCTGCAGTACACAACAACAACCACTAGTAAACTTACATCAGCATCATTAATGTAATGGACCTCATCAAATATCACCCACTCAAGGTCTCGGATAACATCCGATCCATTGTACAACATTGACCTGCACAGTAAATATAAAAGCAGAAATTAAATGAAAACTAATTGTTTATATCATGACAAAACAATCCTAATATTTATTTATTTTGAAATGGACATCTTGTTTAATATAAAGTATATCTTTAACTATTTACAATAACAATTAAATAAACATTGAGATAACACAGTAGAATAAATATTAGTGTCTGTGTGATATGAGGGCTCTATCAACAACCAATTTTAACTTCCTTTCCAAACTTATTACACTTCCTACTTTCATTTCTATCTAAAACTACACTGATTATTATCTCTACTCTGGAAGTAGAAAATTGGGGTGAGTTTTCTGTTGGCGAGTTGACTAATCTGGGGACTACGTGGCCATGTTCAAAATAATATTTTTTCGATAGGTGATTTTAATAAAAAATATTTTTGGATGTAACTATACATACATCTATTAAATTTTCATTTTTTACAAAACTTTTCTGGTTTTTAGTGTAGTGGTAAGCTTCTTTCCTGGGTATGCTGTGTAGCTGAGACAATAAGCGGTTTGCTATATTGCTGAAACACTCAGGGGTAAACTATGAGGCTGAAAATACTGGAAGCTGATGCATGACTATTACCTGAGAATTTCAGTGGTCATGATAAGACACGATGCTGTCTGATTCATCTGAACATCTCCGGTAATGAGTCCAACATCTGTGAACGTCTGTTTAAAGTCTCGGTACTTCTGATTGGATAAGGCTTTAATAGGCGAGGTATAAATTGTCCTGAAAGTAACGACAAAAAATGAATTTATCAACTCAGAAGTTTAATATATATGTAGGATCAAAACTATTTTGGGAAATTTGTTGGCCATTACTAGTCAGCTACTAAACTATTAACAATAGCCAAAAATTTCAATCTCCAGAATAATCATCATTTATTATAAGCCCATGGTTATGAGCTTGGTTATCACTTTGAGAACATGACATTACTTGGACTGACCTAAGTGATGATGTGGATGTCAAAGCAGAAGCAGTTAATCCTTCCAGAATACCTGGTCTAATTGTCTTTGTAATTTTCAAGGGTATTAGTGTTAATACTTCTATTGTTCATGATTTGGGATCATTTAAAAATAATATTGAATTTAAAATACAATTTTGTTATCGTGTCATGTAAAATATTCAGCAGAATTACAAACACATGATGTCACATTGTCCTGTAGTTAGCCCATTCCTTGGTTTTTAAATCTGAGATAATGTCTCAGCCCTCCGGGCTTCTTGTAAGATAAATTATGGGGAGAAATATGGAAATTACTATTACTAATAGCTCAATCATTTTTGTGGTAAAAACCGACTGATAAAACAGATCAACAGCATGAAGCATTACTTGGTGGTAAGTGTTATTTACCTGGTCATGTGTTTTAGGGACAGAGCAATGGCATACTCTGCCACCACAGTCTTCCCTGCAGAAGTGTGGGCGGCCACAAACACGCTGTCATGGTTTTCCAGGTGGAGAATAGCCTGCTTCTGGAATACGTCCAGCTCAAATGGCCACTGTCAAGGTAAAGGATAGACTAAGGAGCTTAGTGTTAATGGCCACTGTCAAGTAAAGGATTGACTAGGACGCTTAGTGTTAATGGCCACTGTCAAATAAAGGATAGACTAGAAAGCTTAGTGTTAAAGGCCACTGTCAAGTAAAGGATTGACTAGGAAGCTTAGTGTTAATGGCCACTGTCAAGTAAAGGATTGACTAGGAAGCTTAGTGTTAATGGCCACTGTCAAGGTAAAGGATTGACTAGAAACTTAGTGTTAATGGCCACTGTCAAGTAAAGAATAGACTAGGAAGCTTAGTGTTAATGGCCACCGACAAGTAAAGGATAGACTAGGAAGCTTAGTGTTAATGGCCACTGTCAAGTAAAAGATAGACTAGGGAGCTTAGTGTTAATGGCCACTGTCAAGTAAAAGATAGACTAGGGAGCTTAGTGTTAATGGCCACTGTCAAGAAAAAGATAGACTAGGGAGCTTAGTGTTAAAGGCCACTGTCAAGTAAAGGATAGACCAGGGAGCTTAGTGTTAATGGCCACTGTCAAGTAAAAGATAGACTAGGGAGCTTAGTGTTAATGGCCACTGTCAAGTAAAGGATAGACCAGGGAGCTTAGTGTTAATGGCCACTGCAAGGTAAAGGATAGACTAGGGAGCTTAGTGTTAATGGCCACTGTCAAATAAAGGATAAACTAGGAAACTTAGTGTTAATACTGCAACAGATTATCATATACTACAATCATTCACATGTGTCACAGTCTCATAAAGTAAAGTTTGAAACATGTATGCCATGTCTAATATGTAGTTCAACAGATTCAAAAGACAATATTCAGAGATATCAAAATCTGGCTGAAATCACAGTGAAAAGTTAAATTCATGGAACAAATCGAGAAAATAAATAATTATCTTAAACCGCGAAGAATTCAACCCCTGTCCTCCAGTCAATTATAGGTACATTTAACTACACAACAATAACATAGGTCCATCTTTAAAGCATCTCTGTAACCATGACTTACTTTATATGCCATGTCCGGAATGCGTTTGTAGAAATCTTCCACTGGAGCATCAATATCTACATTGACTGCCCATTCCTCCTTCACTACAGTTTTGATTTTGACTGTCTCTACTTCTGTGCCTTTATCAGTGGCCTATTACAAAATAAGAACAATAAAACCTTAGACTAATTTACAAAGCTGCCTTAGCTTTCAGAGAAAAACTGCTAAAAAGACATAATAAACAATCCATTAATATTTGTAAATCTTAACAGTGTCAAAAACAAGGACTTTCTATCTCATGATACACAACATATTAATTGCAATTGCACTTAATTTGATACCTTTGTCAGATATGTTTCTTGTACATTTTTTGTGTGTTTTAAACAGTATTTCATTCATAGAGAAGAGGTGTAAAATCATTCAATATCACAGCTAAGTAAAGTTGTGGAGTACTCAACATAACAATGAAGTGTACTTGTCAGGTGTTCCAATATCACAATAAAGGAATGTAATAACTAACCTGTACTAATTTTTCTAGACTTTCACTTTTCTTAATTTCAACAGCCTCTGATATCTGTAATGAATGTCAACAGAAACATAAAATAATACATTTTTGGAAAATTTCTAAAACTGCTAAAGCAATACCAGCCTTGATGATAAAAGATTGCTTTGAATGTAGCAACCAACCCCTTTTGTTCAAAGACTAGTTAGAGATAACCAGTGACTAGTGAAAATTTTCAGATATGAATCAAACATGATTTATTATTTCACCCCGAAGATGTGTTGTGACTGGTCAGATAGATATATATTTACTGTTAATTTTGCCTCATTTTTAGTCGTAACAGTTTGAATTTTTCATTAACAACTGGTTAACTGTTATTAACCTTTGACGAACCTGGGCTACAAATCTAGGAAGTGAGAGAAACAAACCTAAATATATACAAAAATTACCTTAATCATCAAAATTACTCTGTGTCATGTACAATTACTTGATTAAATATATACATGAATTATCCTAATCTTCGACTATCATAAAATCATGCACAACAATATACTGTTGTATGACACTATGACATATACATGCACAACAATATGTGGAGACAAAAACAAAAAAAAAAAAAAAAACCCATGTATTTCTCTACTCATAGTATTGGTGGATATAAATAATTGTCAGGATTCAAAGTAGGTTTTAATAACAAATCAACCTCCTCTGGTTCTTTTGATTCTTCAGCATCCTCAGTCTCTCCAAGGTCAAGGTCATCTATATCCTGGGCCAGGATATCTGCGAGGTTAATGACAGAATGGGGTGTGGGTTGATCAGTACCACCTGTGACCTCTGTATTCTTAGATTGGGGAACGTCAAAGGTCATTCCAGATTTCATTCCCGGTGCTAAAGTCAGGAGATCTGAAAAGTGACAAGGTGGTTATTTAAAATGAGGATAGTCACTGGAGCTTACTTTGTATTATAAATAGGAAATCATCATCATTTAAGAGCTAGTGTAAATAACAAATTTCGAAACATCTGCTTTAAGATGGTAATGTCAATAGAATATTAGCTCTTTAAAACACAACCAGTACTGGTCGTTCGTACGATGAATGTGACAATGTAGTCATCGAAATATCACACTTCTCCTGGTTAGATCATAAGAACTTCTATTCCATAAATCACAAATGTAAGAGACTTGTTGGATAGAATTGTTTTGTTTGTTTTGGTTTTGCTTTTAGCAAAACTTTTGATCTAATTTTCATCGCTGTCACTTGAGTTTCATAATGTTATCTGAAGAACAAAACAAACAGTGTTTTGAGAAGCATTGATATGCTTTGATGAATCATTTCTACTATACTACATAACATTCCCTATACAACCTGAAGACCTTTAACATCATATCGGTCTAGCTTTTCTTTGTCAAAAAGACCTAATCTGTATTTTAATATCCACTTACTTCTTTGAAGCTTTAATCAATTCTAAATACCATTAACATAACCACCATTCCTACAAGGACCCAATACCATTGACACAATCACCATTCTTACAAGGACCCAATACCATTGACACAATCACCATTCTTACAAGGACCCAATACCATCAAACAATCACTACCTGATTCAAGATTTAGCTCCGAGTTTAAATCAGCATCATCTGCAATTGTCTTTTCTAACTCAGGTTCATCAAGTCCTCCTGCAAATAAAATCAAAATAGATTCTGAGAACACATCTAAATCTAAATACATATACAATTTATGTGCTGGCGATACAGTCAATACTATTGTAACATATTTAAAAACAGTTAACAACTCAGAGAAACTGAATTAAACTATCAAGGATCAGAACTTTATTAACTTCAATGTGAGTTTGTAATGTGTTCTTATTCTCATTCCATGATAGCAAACATACAAATAGGCATGATACCACAGGAGAATTCGGGAGGGTTTAGTACTGTGTCTTGAACCAATGATAAAGTGCCTTCTTCATATAGTGCTGGTAAAAAGCTTCTCAGAATACAGCAAAACCACAATTTCCTTAGAAATCTGATATACTCTTATTTACATTATTCTAATATACAGCTTGAATTACTGGACTCTTGGATTAATATAGAGACTGCTAAGACCTGGCCAGAATGAAATATTAAGAATGTTGCCACCGACATCTGGTAAAATTGAACCCAGGGGAAGATACTCAAAACCAAGACTTACCTTCCAGGGATGGAATATCACCTGTTGCAATAGACATCCTGTGACAAGGATATGAACACTCAAACATTAATAAGTAACACTTACCCAGGAAATCTAAGATATAAAGGGTACTGCCGCAGACATCCTGTAATGGTGGACCCATTGTAACATACCCAGAGATAAACCAGATTTACCTGGCCACAACAGAATATTAAGGGTGCTGTCACAGACATCCCATAATGGTGAACCCCTTTGTAACATACCCAGAGATAAACCAGACTTACCTGGCCACAACAGAACATTAAGGGTGTTGCCGCAGACATCCTATAATGGTGGACCCATAGTAACATACCCAGAGATAAACCAGACTTACCTGGCCACAACAGAATATTAAGGGTGCTGTCACAGACATCCCATAATGGTGAACCCCTTTGTAACATACCCAGAGATAAACCAGACTTACCTGGCCACAACAGAACATTAAGGGTGTTGCCGCAGACATCCTATAATGGTGGACCCATAGTAACATACCCAGAGATAAACCAGACTTACCTGGCCACAACAGAATATTAAGGGTGCTGTCACAGACATCCCATAATGGTGGACCCATAGTAACATACCCAGAGATAAACCAGACTTACCTGGCCACAACAGAACATTAAGGGTTCTGTCACAGACATCCTGTAATGGTGGACCCATAGTAACATACCCAGAGATAAACCAGACTTACCTGGCCACAACAGAATATTAAGGGTGTTGCCGCAGACATCCTATAATGGTGGACCCATAGTAACATACCCAGAGATAAACCAGACTTACCTGGCCACAACAGAATATTAAGGGTGCTGTCACAGACATCCCATAATGGTGAACCCCTTTGTAACATACCCAGAGATAAACCAGACTTACCTGGCCACAACAGAACATTAAGGGTGTTGCCGCAGACATCCTATAATGGTGGACCCATAGTAACATACCCAGAGATAAACCAGACTTACCTGGCCACAACAGAATATTAAGGGTGTTGCCGCAGACATCCTATAATGGTGGACCCATTGTAACATACCCAGAGATAAACCAGACTTACCAGGCCAGAATGGAATATTAAGGGTGCTGCCGCGGACGTCCAGTGATGGAAGACCTGGTGCACGCTTCAGTGACAGGGAGGTCTTGCCTGTACTTCCTGTGTCTGTCAAGTATTCCTGTAGGTAGAGGTACCAGTTTATATCCAATTTACACTATTAGAACACTGCTTTATCAAAAATTCATTTAACACATGTATTTTTCACATTGTGATAACTGAAGTCAGTTACAACATAAGCCAAAGTAACTGATCCAAAGTTTCATGATCCATACGTATGGCAGTCTGTGTATATTGATTGAGAAGCCAAGAAATGGCCAGTCTGTGCTGATGTAATTGTTCCATTGGACATGATTACTTTACTCTAATTGCTTCAGACAGAATTTGACAGGCCTCCTGTTGTATTCTGTATAGTGACCTTGCTACTACAACAAGGCACCACCTCAAAATGGCCCTGGATGTTGGATAAATCCGATAGTAATAAAAAACAAAACAAAAAAAACACCAAATAACAACTTAAAACACTCACCCAAGCAATTTTTGTGTACTTATCATTTGCACAAATCAATTTTTTTTTTTTTTAGTTTTGAAAAATCATTCCAAAATTTCAAAATTTTTCTATAATTATGTATAATACATTTGTATATCTTGTAACAACATCTTCTTTGCTAATGACTCTCTGAAAACCTAAAAGTTCTTCAATAACATTGCTATACCTAGCATATAAATCCAGTTGCTCAACATTCACAGCATCACTTCACACAACTGTAGTTATATTAGGTTTTACATTTTTTTCAATGTTAATTGGTAGTACAAAAAATATGCATTTTATACTATAGTTCTCATCATTTTATGCTACGGCAGCTTATTGTAAAATGGCTTCACTGAAAAAAAATTTGATAGAAAATACTCTATTAATGTAATGGGAGATATGGGAAAAAACATGGTTTTTTACTGGTTGTATATGGAAATATCAAAGTTATATTAGTTATTAACATTGTTATAACATTACATTATTAACACTCATCTAAATATTTAGCTACTCATAAAACAAGGTAATAATTTCAGAATCTGTGAATATTTCAAAACTACAGAGAACTGCAACTCTTTGGCTCTAACAAATGTCGTATTCTTGCAACACTGGGCATTATAGATGCCATGAGAAATCAACAGTAAAAATCAAAGAGAAACGACTTGTTTCAAGTTAGATGTAACTAAGCAGAAACTAAAGACGGTTCACCACTAATGCAATAAAGTTATTGCCATTTAAAAACAGCCTTTGATGAGGCTCATAAGTTGATATTATCAAAACAGCCATGTAAAAACCTAATTATAACTGACCTCTTTATAGTCCAGCAGCTGACCAGTGGTGGGATTTCTCTCTACCTGGATGGTCGTCTGGAGTGGACATAAGTCGACCGAGTATAAGTTCTCTGGACAGCACTCTCTAGGCCAGAATCTGGAGTGTAAGATGCAAACTGGTTTTTATGAATGTTAAAATTTTTTTTTAAACCAGTACAGTAGTCATTTTTGTCTGTAGAGCTATCATTTTAACAAAAGTGACACCTTTTAAACATCTTTACTGGGAAATTCTATGTTTTCCATCTTCTTTCGTTAGCTTATGAAATAAGACATATTCTCTACATCATTTAGTTCTAAACTCCATTCCTAGTAATAAGTCCATTGACATACATTGCATTTACAGTAAAAATGTGAACAAATGCTACTATTTCCTCTAATAAGCCCATCCTTACTTTGGGTCAGAGATTATATGTCAGTTCGCATCTCTAACAAAAATTTACACATTATATGATCAAAAAGCTATTACTGTATTAACATGTAAAGAACATTAGCTCTTGGGAAAGTTGTAAGGCAGGTATTCATGTTTATTGTAAGACGTTCTAATGTAACTGTGTCTCATAAGTGGACATATAGATACATGACATTCAAAATGTATCTATACATTGTCTGTACATGTATAAGTCAATAAGACTTACTTTTGAGATCTCGCTGTGTCATGTATAGGAAGTTTCTCTGGACAAGTGAGGTACTTCTCCACATCAGCTCTCCAGTCAGGCAGCACTGGGGGTAATCCCACTGGTAACTAGAGGCAAAGACAAGCTCATATTAACCCGATAATCGACTGTCTTATCCAACTACATGACCTGTGTCTAAAAATCTTTGGAAAACAGTTTTTTGTTTTCTTTCCTTGAATACATTGAGATAAATTTACATGTTACACTACTTCTAGTAGGGATTAATGATCAAAATTCAAAACTGAAATAACAGTATTAAGTTTTCATTCTAGCAGTGAAAAGAATCCTACAGTTTAATTATTAATAAATCAAAAATGTAAAAACTAAAAACACATCTTTATTTTTTAATTGTTTTGTATTTTTTTTTCTCAGGCAATATTCAGTGATCATGAAGTGTTCCATTTGTTATGACTTACCGTTTTTTTAGGCCAAGCATGGTTCAATTTAACTGACTGCTTATCTTTGTCAACTGCTGTAAAACTGCCATAACAACCAGTCTCAATAAGGTCAAAGTCAAACGTATCTTCTCTGCTGGCAGTCTGTGGGTCACCCATGTTTATATCACTTTTCTGACATCTCATTGGCCTATCTTGTTCATTTTCTCACCAAACCTGTATGAAACAAATCAAACTGACACTAAGTTGTAATTACTATCTTGTACTACTAAATACTACAAAAGTTAATCATCTTCATGTTTTAAAATTTGTTCACATTTTTAGGATGGGAGTAAAATAATTCAATCTCAGGTTTTGATAGCTATAGTTTGGTATCACTATTTCTTGAGAAAATCTGGATGGATCATTATCCAATTCTAAGAGTTGGTTCCCATTGGTCTCTAGTTGTGCATATTTGATTTGAAACAGAATAGAAAAAGACAAAAGGAATGGAAACGATTCAACGACAAAAATATGGGTGATAGAGATCTCAGTGGGATGTGGTGACCACCTCTATGATCTCTTCTTCTTTAAAAGTTGGATCTTTTCCTTTCTTTTATCTTTCTCCCTATTTTTAGCTTTAAATCACATGAAATTTGAAATTTCCTTTGGGAAAAATTGTGATAAAGTCTTTAATAATTATGTCAAAAATGGTTACCTCTCAGACATTTTGTTCTTCTGATCAGTTCCAGGTTGAACAGTGAACAATTAGGGAAAAAGTAAAATCAACAAATAAATTTGAGAATGTTCCACCCAGTACTTCAAAAAATAGCAATAACAAGCGGTCACTTTCAAAATCCAAGAAGGCCACCCAGGTACAAGCCATTTGCATTCCCGAAATGGACAAAGTAATTCATGTAAAAAGGAACAGTGGGACTTAAATAAGAATTTGAGAACAATCCATCTACATGTACTTCTCAAAACCAAACTTTCATTGTCAGAATCCAAAATGGCACTCTGTTAGCCTGCTTGTGTTTTGTTTTTCTGGTGGTCTCAATGTTAAAATAGCACTATTATATATAACAACAGACCAAGAGAAACTTTCATATGAAATTTGATAAAGAATCATTCAGTACTTCTCAAGAAATAGCTCTAATTAACACATCTTCACAAAATCAAAATCAAAGACAGCTGCCCATCTGTCATTTTGTTTTCCTGATCAGTCCTGAAATGAAGAAAACACAGCTAGGCATCAAGTGGAATTAACATATGAAATTTGAAAAGTACATTACTAATCTTTTCAAAATAAACAGTACTAGAGGCTTAATAATTTTTAATTGATTTTGAAAAAAATAAATTGCATGTTTCAGCTATTTACAACTGAAATATCCCCCTATATTGTATACCATTTTCAGCCCAAAATATGTAGAAAACTGTCATTAAATAGATAACATTAAAAAGCTGAGTAATTTTCCAACTGACTTCAATTTATTAGTTTTAGTTTTTTGTTACGAAAATGAATTTCTACATCAAATCAAATGGGGCATTGTTATATAAGATTAGATAACAACATGGAGACGCGGGACTTCACAGCAAAGTGATCAACAAACACAGAAGCTAATGCCAGAGAAGTCACCAATAGGCTTAGTTTCTTATTCCTCTATATTCATCACTGGATTTTATAACCTAAACAGGCGTCTGAATGATGTTATCTCGACATCGCCATCTTGCAATATTTTAGCTATGCAAGTCCAAAATGCATGTCTTATATTGAAAAAATAATGATTTTTAATTATCTTTTGACAACTCATTTCTGATTCATTTAACTTGTGAGATGTAGACTGAGGGATGAAAAATTGAGTTTATTTAGATAGTTTTTGTTATAAAAACAAGAAGTTTACCAAGAAATAAGGCTCGTTTGAGAAAGCGACAGACCAAATAATGAATAACTTGCCTCTTACCCTTTAGAAAATGTGCCCACATAATCACAGATATGCAGTATTTTTGTACCATTATTTTAATTCTATTTTCATCAACATGTCATTCCCATTCAAATGATGATTTTATGTAAAACATATGTACTTCTTGGTCACTGTAAATTAACCCAAGCATCTCAATGATTAAGTGATGACATCAGAAAAGGAAGTGCAGTCACATGTCTGATACAGATGTTGCTCATTTCAGGTGAGCAAATTTGAGATCGCATCTGTGGCTAATTTCTAAAAAAAAATACTAGTGTTGCACTGATAAGGTTTTTTTTAAATAAATCTTCTAGTATGAACACATTTTAATTTATTTATGTATTTGTTTGGTGGTAATTCGTCGACATAACATAGCTAGCAAGAAATTATTCTTAAGGGATCCGAAACTAATACGCCAAGGATACATGCACTGGGTACAGACTGTACCCAGTACGTGTATCCTTGGCGTATTACTGTACTACAGTATACAGTTTATGATGGAGTTGAAGTGAAAGTTAGACTGGAAACGTAGTAAGCCAATATATATGTAGTCTGTTTGTATGACTCGATTTATTATAATTATAACAAATAACTTTTCCTTTCTCTATTTTACGCCAGCGCCAAACTTTCCTATTACTTCGTGGCAATCGTCTACATTAGCAATATTTTTAAAGTCCCACGTGCATAATGGATTCCAGGACATACTAATGTGCGAGTCGAGTTTCATGCAGTGTTCCGACGAGTTATCTTTGTATTCATAGTAACTGTGTGAAACCCGTGTGTTATCGTCACCTCGTGCTTATTTCCCGTAGCTTATTCACCTGTTTATTCTGTCGGCATGTATATCCACGTCCCTTACTTTCAGTTTTGTTGCTCAGTATTAGGGTTATCTGAACGTTTTGATTGCAATGTATAGAATGCTTCCAAGTTACAAGCGTTTTGAAGACGGACATCAAATCCGGAAAATATTTTGTGTGTATGCGCGCGAAATTACCAATTTCCTGCGTAAACAAACTCATGAATCTTGAATGAGGAGAAGCCTGGAATAGAACGAGAAGGAATTGTACCAATACTCAGCTATGGACGAGTGTAAAATTTATAAGACTCGCGCATTTTTACAAGTTTTCGCACCTACAATACAACTTGTAAAGTGACATTGATGTTATAGATAAAAATGTGGATTTCATTAGGCCTGTAGGTGAGTAAAAGCTAAATACCGTGATCCAGAGAATGGTATTGACTAGGCTACCATGTGGAATTACAGTGTGGTGTAATAACCGAGCTTTCTGAGAAACACCAGCTGTGTTATTCGTGAAGATCGTGTGTTTTACGATATACAGGTTTATATCATTGTTCGTTAAGTCATATTAAGATATTAACATGTGCATGTACACTTTATTAGCAAAATAGGATGATATAATTAATCAATTCTTATTAGCAAAATAGGATGATATAATTAATCAATTCTTTTTAAGTACCAAATGATAGCCATTGAAATCTTTATGTCACTTTTCAATAATAATAAAGTTTATTTATTTTCGGTATTAAAAACAATAGAAACATTAGCTCTTTTGAGCTATTTCATCCGACACATGCATACAGTTACACATTAAATACACAATGACATAATAGATAAGATATAAGTTTAGAACTACTCGGATAAAAAAGTTTAATATTTAGCAGGTGATATATTAAAATATAGTATTGATAAAATGTGTCTGATTATATAGGTGTTCAATGTGTGTCTGTAATCATGTGTGCATGTGTTGCATTTAGATTTTGGCCCATACCAGCTGTTAATTAGTGTCTTAAATTGTGTAAGTGTGGTTGTTGTTCTGAAATGGTCTGGTAGGGTGTTCCAAATTTTAGGTGCTTCTGATCTAAATGAGTGTTTGCCGTATTTTGTGGTCCTAACCTGTGGTATTTCCGCTGTATTATGGTATCTAAATGTATATGATTTTTCTGTTACGTTTATGAGGTCATGCAGATATGTTGGTGTTTGATTGTTGCTAATTTTGAAAACTTCAATTGCAAAATTTCGAAGGCGCCTAATTTTGAGAAAGGGTAATTTTGAATGGGCTGATAAATTTTAGTATGTATTTTCGTGGTCGTCATAGATGAATTTCAGAGCCCTTTCTTGAATTTTTTCCATTTTTCGTGTATTAGTTTCACAACAGAAGTGCCATGTAAGTGGGCAGAAATTAAAGTTTGAAAGAATGAAAGAATGATATATAGTGAGTCTGCCCAGTCTGTTTAAGTGTTTTCCTATGCGTTTGAGTGTATTGAGTTGTTTGGATGCTGTTTTGCAGATATTGGATACATGTGTGTGGAAGTTTAGTTTAAAGTCAAGTGTAACTCCTAGCAGTTTAACCTCTGGTTCGCATTTAATGGTATTGTTGCCTACTTGGAAAGTGATGTTTTCGTTTTGTGTTTTATTACCTACTGCCATGGCTTGAAATTTATTTGGGTTAGCTTTCATGTGATTGTTTGCGAACCAGTGTATGAGTGAGTTGCAGTCTGTTTGTAGTGATGTTTTGACTGTTTCTAATGAGGTGTGTGCTTTGCTAATAGTGTTGTCATCAGCATAGTTGTATAATTTGCAGTGTTGTATAGAGTGGAAAATGTCGTTGATGAAAGTGTTGAAAAGAATTGGCCCTAATATTGATCCTTGTGGTACTCCTTTGTATAGTTCCTGAAAGGTGCTTTCAATATTTCCTAATTCAACCTTTTGTTTTCTGTTTTTGAGATAGTTCAAATTAAGTTCTGAGGCCGAATTTGAAAGTCCATAGTTTTTGAGTTTGAGAGTTTGTAGGTCATCAATTGTAAGGGAATATTTTATAATTAAAGAGATGCCAAAATGTCAAAGGTCCAAACTAGCTTATATTAGAATAGAATTTCTGGTTGCATATTTAAATGGGCACTTGATTGCAGGGTGCTGATCACACCTAGCCGCAAATTTACTTTTGGTTTAGTCATGTCCAAGACAAAGAGGAAATCAAAGATAGATATTCAGAACTCTTCGGTCTCCTTTTCCAATTTACATTTAGGCCTTTGTATCTATGACACAGACTTTATCCACAACACAGACTTTCATCACAGTAAATTCACTAATTAAAATATCAAAGTAAGAAAGTCATAGAAGTGAATACAGTCCAACCTGGTTATGACGCATTCTTGGGGCCCATTCAAATGCTTTTGTCCTAAACAGTTTTCATACTGTTTGGGTTAGCGCATCCAATGTGCCATCATGCATGCATGTGTACACTTGGTTTATATATATGTATACACATAATATATTTAGAAATATATAAAACTGTGTAATAATGTAACCTATTAATTAGTGTCAATAATGTATTAAATTACAAATAGGCAAAGTCTTCAGCTTTATGCACGAGGACATCAGCCAATATCGGAATATTTTTGTGATGAGTTCTGAGGAACCACTTGTATAAGCATTCCTGAACATCAGTATAGTTTCCAGATCTCTTACATTTGCATTTAAGAGAAAATTCACTCTGTTCATGAGCACATAATTTTTTTCTAACTGTTTCAGTATTGAAGTTAAAGTGCTTGGATTATATATAGAATTCTTTTGAAATTTCAAATTTAGATTTGTTCTTGCGGTCCATTGTAATAATTATGTCAAATTTCACATCCAAAGAAAAATTTTGCTCAGGTTTTTTGGTCGGAGTCTCCTTAGTGTAAAATATGTGTTATCTATGTAAAATGAACAACAAAATGAATCAAAATGACACAGTATATGGTTTACATTGTTTATTCACAGGCTTTAAAGTTAGATTAAAATTACAGGAACACAACACATTTTTAATTAATGTAAAAAACAGAATGTATGACAAACTCACATGTTGTCGGTTCTACCGTAAATGAAAGAAGATGAACCACAGCACATCGGTGATCCTGCATTAACGAGGCAACAATTTTGTATAAAAAATTGAAATCATGTGAATTCTGGTGCAACAAGATGAAGAAGCGTCAGCAGTGGCCTGTCCATCTATTAAAAGTCCATGGTTTCATTGAACACACTATTCTCTTACTGTTATGGAGTGCCCATTGTCAGAATGTGACAATGGTAAGGAAAATTTGTATATTACCAGGGTTTTTCATTGTAACTAATTTGTAATAAGTGGGAAAACAATATAGAAATATTGAATACACTTTTTAGGGGATTTGATTTTCATTTGTATGAGGCAAGTTTTGTGTTATTATGTGGGTTGGACTGTGTCACAAATATGGAAAGCAATAATAAAATGTAGAACTGTAGGGTTGTCTGTCAACGTAAAACACAATTATGTAATTCAATATAAATGAGCTTTAATATGCCTAGGTTTGGGAGGCAACTGGAATACTTGGAAGAAACCTGTATGGCTTGACAGGTGACATTCGAATCCAACACCAGTCACCATGATAATGGAGAAGTGAACCAGTACATGGCCCCCTGTATACATTTGTAAATATTTTTGTACATCTGCTGAGTGTTTTTTATTTAGCAACAAAGAAAAGATTCTTATTAGTTGTATTATCATTATTAACAAATGTTTATATGTGTGTTTACAAGTTTTGTAATGATTAAAGTTCTACCTGTCAAACTTGTGTTTCTGTCCTGGCTTCTAATCTAATGAATCTCCTTTGCCAATAACAAATGCCACCATAAAACTCCTATCCAGTGTTCCATTTTGTATATTTTGATATACAAAACTATGTATAGCTACAGATTATATACTAGTTCCTTGGGTTCTTCCCCAAAATATATATATGCTGATGTATAAATGACATTGGGATAAAAAGAAACAAATCAATGCAGTTAATGCTGTTTTTTATCATTTGAATGGCCTTGTATGTCAGGAGAAACCACTGCTGAACAGTTTAGTTTATTTTATAGGAAGGAGTTTTGAAAAATATACTAGTGACCTCATTTCTGTATATGAAGTTAACTCCTTGTGTCTTTGAGATTAAGGTCTCAAAATATTTCTATATGTTTGTAACAGATTGTAAGCTATACAGTTGCAAAAATTCAAGAAGGAAAGACATGTACTTTGTTGAGTATAAGAAGGCTACAACAACATAGTCGGTAGAGTGTTAAATTTCATGTCAAGTGAAAATATAAGGTGTGATGCTCATTGACTCCTGGTCAGTTTGTGTTGATGAGAGATTGAGAGATGGATTGTCCTTGTGTGCTGCAGTGATTGGGTCCTTGGACTAGACACTTCATCCCTATTGCTTTGAATATGTTGTTCAGTGAGGTAGCCTCTAACTTCTACTAGAAGACCTCAACTCCAAATGACCTTGGGTGTTGATAGGACAAGAAAACCCAGCAAACAAACATATTGTGTATTAGATTAAAGCTTATTTTTCTTTATTAACATTTTGAAGATTGCTATATGTTTCTATTTCTGGTGAGAAATCCTGAAATATTATAGTGCCATACACTGGGTTCAGTTATCTTTATTTTGAGGCAGACCAGTAATTATTTTATCAGATCATCCAATACTTACATTGTTGCAGATAATAACATGTAGAATACATTGTGATGGTTCTAACAATTAAAGTACCTGAGTATTAGTAACACAGGGGACATAACTCTTACCCAGACATACTGGTCAGCAAACAAAACAATATATTTTTAATAGGATGTCTGACCGTATAAAAATTTACCAAGTGTATGTGAAAGCTCCACATGAAAAAAATATTCACTTAACAGTATTTGTCAATAATTGCAATAATAAAGTAAGTAAAAAATGTAAATTTTGATGATTATTTCAGAAACGAAAGTCCTGAGATAGTGGAAGATGTCACACCACCAAGGCCCTAGGTCATTAGCTAGCTCCAGGCACAGGTCACTTTCAGCAAATGTGCGACGCCTGCAGGAAGCCTTGAATAATATCCTGGAAGAGGAAGAGAAGACCTTGTTTGTCGGGGCTCTCAATGATTATCACACTCATCGGGATGTTCATCTGTTTGTTAGGAGACTTAAGGCAATACTTAACACCCAGTCTAAACGTCAGCTGCTGCCACTAATTCGGAAGGTTATGCCTGTGACAGATATTGAGGCGTTTGATAGTTTAACTAGCAGTAGTAAAACACAGAAGGCGCTCTCATGTAAATCTCATCATACTCAAAGAAATGCTCATTTTTCATCAGAACAATATCCTCAAGTATCATTTTCTTCAAAGTCTCGACGAAAGCCTAAACAGAGTTTGAGGAGCACAAAATCAGAAAAAACTACAAAGAAAAAATCAAAAAGTGTCTTCGGTGGAAAAGTGAAGTTGGAGCATTCATCAAAACCAAGATCGGCACGAAGTGCTCCAGTGTCAATTTTACACAGCAATGGTAATAAAAACAGCATTAAAAGTACTAGGATCTCTAAAGCAGGGTCAGGGTCCCTTATGTCCCTCACCCCTCAACCCAATGAGGTTCTTAGAATAATTCTTGGCCAGCCGTCTAACCCAGAGAAGGGGTTCGGCTTCAGTATCAGAGGTGGTTCTGAATATGGACTTGGAATCTACATATCACAAGTGGATGGTCGGAGTGTGGCAGAAAAGCAAGGACTACAACCAGGTGACATGATTATGGAGGTCAACGATATAACATTCAAGAAAATTGCACACGATGAGGCGGTCAAGGTAAACATATTAAGATTATTTTGTTCATAAATGTGTCTATTGATTTTCCTTCAAACATACTAAATATATCACAGTCAGTAGAAAAAGTATACCTGTCAGAAATGGTTTGGTTTTTACTTCATTTGACACAAAGGGTCAATATTACGTTCTCTCATTCTGTTTCATCTGTCTTTGTGCACAATCTGTTGTGATTTAGCCAGTGCATAATGTTTTCATATTGAAAACATTTGAAACACCTACTCAAGTGCCACCATTTAGATTTTGCTCAAACTTGCCTGAAAAGCTCCTGTCCCAGTGTTATTATTTTTTGGTATGGAAACCAGTATGCATATGCTGCCATCTTGGAAAAACACATTTTAAACTTCTTTTCAAGTTCTAGTGATGTCACTGAACTGAAAAATGATTGACATGTTAAAAAATGGTTGCCAACAGAGTGTTAAAGGTATTTTCTATCTGTTCAATATTGCTGTCTTGATACTAATATGTAACATGAATGTATGAGACTGGTTTTTCTGAACAACAGTTTTTAACTTCTTGGCAAGTTTCACCAAATGTATTTAGTCTTGCCTAGAATTGTTTTGAAATGATCTTGACAAAGTATTGGTATTTGGTCCAAAATCCAATGTGGCCACCATCTTGGAAACTCATTTATTTTAAACTCCTCTAGTTCTGCTGTCACTGAGCTATAAATTGAGGGAATATTGAGAAATTGAAATCAAAGATGTGTTGTAAATTTTGTTTGTTTAGTGTTTTTTATTCTTCATTTACTGCTGATTCAGTATTGTTTTGATTATTCTGATCATAATTGAACCTGCTACCATTGCTATCATTATGCAGTTGGCCTGTGGACCTCTTGTTTCATTTTGGTAAAACCCATGGTCAAAGGAATGTTACTCAATGTTTTATGTCATTGATATGAAATGTTGTAGATATTGAAAGGATAGAAAATTTTAGTCCTGTTTATTGAATATGAAAATTGTAGAAATTAATTGAACGGAGTGTATGGCAGAATCATTATCAGAAAATGATTGGCTTAAAAGCAGTTGAACATTGTCTGCAGTAGTATACTTCAGGGCTGAACAGTGAAAGACGTGCCAGAACCTGGCCTGGGTCAATGCCATGTAGACTGTCCAGAGAATTGCATCGGCCTTTTACATGTAATTGCGTTTACTTTTTTTAAAATATCTATTTGGGATAAATCGTCAGGTAACTAAACCTCTCACAGACAAAGCTGTATGTATGATTCATTCAGAGGGTTCTATTGGTTTTTATGTCTGTGATGAATTTATTTTATTTGGTTGACAATTATTGTAGGTTTTGTTGTTAAAAAAAAAGGGTTTAGTCATACAGCATACTGTACTCTCACCACAATAGCTGATGATCAATCAGTAGAGCATTGACCTATGTAACCCCTAATGGGGAAGAATAAAGGTGTGTGGTTTGAGTTCTTAACTCGTGGCAGTTAAGAATCGAGATGTGTGGTTTGAGCTCCTAACTCCTGGCAGTTTAGAATAGAGGTGTGTGGTTTGAGCTCCTAACTTGCGACAGTTAAGAATAGGGGTGTGTGGTTTGAGCGGCTAACTCATGGCAGTTTGTTTTTTCTCAGGAAACAGGGAAACTTTCTTCTCATCTGTGTTATGGGGATTGTGTCTTTAGTTAAGACATTTTAACGTTATTGCTCTGGATGTCATGTGTTGGTCCTCCAATATCTTGTTCACTGAGGCAGTCACCAGCCACTACAAGGAGACCAGGGCCCGTATTCATGAAACCGTTCTCATACTCAAGCATGAATTTTGTGCTCAAGCCTTATGTCTTGTTTAAGTTAATGATTATTAAATAAGACTGATTTTGCCAAAGATTTTTTTTAAAAAATTTGAAATTACTTCAAGTGAAAGTTATAATCAATATTTGACATTTGTATTATTTTATGATTTAGGAGAATCATAAAAAAGTTTGTGTGAGCACAAAATCTATGCTTGAGCATGAAAATGGTTTCATGAATATGGACCCATGCCTCAATATGACCCTGGTTCTGTATTATAGGGCAATAAACCCTGCAAGTAAACAAACATTAATTACCAATTGATTCAGTGACATAATGTGTTTACCTCTTTGTCAAGTAATTAAACATGCCTTGTCCTTTGATGTAAGTTGTAGTGATAAGGACCTGTTTGTATTGTAAATAATTGAAATAACATGTCTGATTGGGATCAGAATTTTAGTGTCAAGTAGTAGGTGACCTTGCTTAATATATATACAAGTATGTACTTGTATAAAACAAAGAAAGCACAAGACTGTGTGCAGGGCCTATCTGACTTCTCCAGCTTCTTCACTTTCTTCAGACAGCATATCCTTTGGATTAAAAGAAAATCATTATGAAACTTTTGTGTTTATTTTTATTGAAACGAATTGGATTTAATTCAAACAACATAGCACAGGTTTCATTAAAATAGCGAAGACATATGGTAAGGGACTTGTAATACAATTATTGATTTATGAACCGTCACCCCTTCAGTAATTACTAACACTATAAATCAGGATACATTGTAGATGCTGATAGATTAATAGATGGTTATATATACATAACGTGGGAACAATAACCAGCCATTTTTAAGAGTATCTTGGTACACTGGGCCCTATGGCTTTGTGGAGTAGACTTCCTCATTCTTTGCTACCATTTATTTTTTTTATTTTATTTATTATTTAAATTTTTTTCAGTTCACTGCTAAAAAGAAGTAGTTTGTATATGTAGTAATTGTAACCTGCTTTCACTTTTTACTTTTAAATTTAGATTATATTTTCATATACACTCTGTAAGACATTAAAGAGAAATTATGGGAAGCTTATAGCTAAAAAAACAGGTGTTTTCTGAAGGTCATGTGAGATTATGCCATGGTGCAGAGATACTAATATATTATCAAGTTCTTATAAATAGAAAGAGGATAAGGCACAAGTAGTTTGCTGGATTAAAAAAAGTTCCAGAAGAGTTAGCCATGCTTTCTTCTAAACAAATGACTTCTGACTATAGCCAATTGAAAGAGGTCATGGCCAAACCGTTATTTTGCCTGTAGCATGCTGAGATGGAGGGTTATAAAGCTTGTTCACACAAACATCCTTGACCTACTTTTGAAGTCACATAATCAAAAATAAATTGAAACTTTTACACACTTACTTGTATTACCAGGAGACCAAAAGTCATAAAGATTTGGCCAAAAGCATGTCAGATAGTGAAACTCTTTATAGGGTTTACCTGCTTGAATAAACTTTTCCAAGTTTTGTCTTTGCATCCAGGTATTGCACAGTTTCAAAACAAAGCAGAAGTGAAGAAACCTGGACAAAAACGTTTGCAAACATCAAGATTTAATCATGAGCAAAAAATTTGTTCCGCTTTTTTTTTTTCTTTCTTTTTTCTGGAAATTGATAAAATTGGTTTTATTGGTAAAGAAAATCCGATTTCAGAATTCTTATATTTGGGAACATCATTCAGAGGAGCTTATTATTGTGTCAGTTTTTACATTTTAAACTGGCCAATAATAATTCCGTTATACGATTCAGAATAATGTTGTAACATGATTTAGGGTAATATACCGCTCCATCAGATTTGTTTATAGGCAGACTCGGTATAAGAATGTACGTGGATGTTGAATAATTAACGAGGACAGGTAGACTAACGTACAGTGATCAACTGGCTCAACTGATGTATGCTGGCTGCCAGGGCACTAACATAGATCACACTGTAGCCACCTTTACCAACTAATATATAATATATTCTTATGTTGTATTCAACTGAGACTTTAACTTAGTGCTAATTATGGAAACAAAAAAACTCTTCTTCAGAGGTACATGTAAATCCCCACACATTGTTTGTGGATTGAAGTTTCATTGGTTATTCAGTGGCGTAGTTTTGGTTGGGAACCAGAAAACAAATGCATGCCACAGTGATTAAATATGAATGCGGTATGGTCTACCTAGCCTTGTAGTGGCCAGTTCCAATATACTGATCAGCACTAATCTGAATTTCTATATAAAGCTAGTATATGTAAGGATAAGGACCAGCGCCAATGCTCTACATGTTATTTTCCTATGAGAATTAATTAAGTGAACATATCTGAATTAGTTCCATGAACTTGTAATATATATCTTTATACTTCTTGCATACATTTTTTCTGTCAATTCGGGCTCTCACTCAATAGTAATTAATTACTTATTTGTTCTATATGGGCAGAAATTCTTCATGAATTTTACCTCCAATACTTTTGTTAGCTTTATTTTGTTTATAAATTGTTCATGTTTGCCCTAGAGCAGGCCTTGTGGCTCTTAAATCACTTAGGAGCCAAGATTGGCTGCATACTGCCCTATCTTGAATCGCTCAAGAACTAGGGACAGTGGACAATACTTCTCCAGAATCGCTCTGGAGGTCTAACTTGGTCTATCTTGAATCGCTCTAGATTTCCTTGACCTACTTCTTCAGAATCACTCAGGATTCAAGTTTTTTTTTTTATTCTACCTGGCCTTTAGTTATGTTGAATCACTAAAGAGCTACATGGCCTACGTTTAAATCAATGAAAGTTTTCTTTCTTACCAGGCCTCCTCCGATATACAAAGGAGGCAACTTTGTAGTTTTAGTTACATTTATTAGTTATTTAGTTTAGTGTTTGAGTGAGTAGCCCCTTATACACCAAAGAATAGTTTTATATATTTAAGCGTTGCAATATATGTTATCCACACTTTGCCTCGGTATGTAACAGACAGGTCAACTCTTTCATGTGTTTTAGTAGTATACATCTTTATACTTCTTGTGTGCAATTTTTCTGTTAGTTCATCTGTCTCACATTCTTGCCGATTCACTCGAAGGATTATGTATTTATCTTGTAGTGAAAGATTTTGTTTTAACACGTCACATATTTAAATCATTAAGGTTCCATGATCTCTTTTTATGTGAAGGTCAGTAACCAAACGTCAAGGTCACTAGCAAAAATAGCTTTTTCTTTCATGACTCT